GGGGGGGGGGGAGGAATAAATGTAATATTTTAAAGTTTTTAATCCAAATCAGCATGACAGAAAGCCAGGATTCCGGCAGCCAGCCAGTCTCACGTTCTTTTCTCCACTCCCTAGCATTTGTGACTGACAACAACGTCTCAATATTTGAGGAACACCAGATCTGTACCAGCCCCAACCTGTACCACATCCTACAGACCATACAGGGTGGAGGGCTGTTTGTGGAGGATGAAAATAAGTTCATCTTCTGCAATGTGCTGGTGGGTCATCAGGCCAAGGCTCGGTTCAAGATCAGCAATGTGGGAAAGATTGCCTGTGATATCAACATTGTAGTCAAGCCTATCTCCAACAAGGTAGGAGGCTCCTGGTGACCCTGGCCCTCTTTAGTTGGTATAAAGCCAGGAAAGGAACCCTGGGAAGGCCCTGCTCTGGAGCCCCTGCACCTAGGTGGGAACCATGAGGTGCTCAGGCCCTGTTAGAAGTTCTATGAGGTCACAAGGCCACTTCCTATAGGCCAAGGACTATATCTGCATGTGTGTGTCCTGTGTGTACCTTTGTACTAAATTAGTTCATACTACTGGGGACCTCATTTGTCTGTCCAGCTGAACTCACTGTTGATATATACAAGCACTGGGAGAGAAAACAAAGATGGCCACCAAGTTCAGGCAGGTTAGCCTCCAATCTCCCATTCTTCCAGTCAGGGAGATTTGGAAGGTATCAGACTACAGGTGTAAGGTAGAATAGAGAATGTGTATCAGGGCCCTCCTGTGTGACAGGCATCATGCTAAACGATTGTCTAGTTAATGCTTTGTTTCATGTCCACATCTTTTTTAAACTTGGTTCTTACCCCTGCTTTACAGGTAGGGGAACTAGCCAAAGTTCAAAAAAGCTCAATTCTTCCTCTATCCCATATCCTGGGAATATGCAGCTAGGATTAAAGCCAAGCTTTGTTCATATTCAATAATGAGTGCCCACTTCAGAGGTCTACTAAGCTTAAAACTGTCTCTCTGGGACAGATTATACCAAAGCCATTTCTTCATAGTAAAAGAAAAAATTCAAAGATAACACATGGAAGGACTGAATCCACAGGTTGCTGTTACCCCGGATTTCCAGTATATGCTTCCAGTATATACTTAGCATCATCAGAACAGTGTGCAATCTGCGCAGCTCTCATGTCCCAGACCTCACATTGTTCATGGTTGATGTGGGGGTGGAGGAGGTCCCCAAGGTTGGCCTCAGCCTAAAGCTGTGTGCATTCCTGGAAGACTGTCATCCGAGATAATCAGGAGACCGTCTAATCCCTCATGACTCCCTTTGGGCACTGGTGACAGCCAGTCATGGTTCTTTAATCATACTGTAGAGCACTGGGGGGTTGCTTCCTCCTCATTCTGTACTAAAAGTACAAAAAGTAGGGAAGCCTGGCTTCTGAAGAGAAAAGCTTTGTGACAGCGGACTTGGGACATCTCCTCCTCTCCACTTTGAGACTTGAAGGGAATCCCTTGGGAAAAGCAGTGAAGCCTTAACCACCCTTTGTCTAAAGAGCAAGTGGGAGTAGCCTGCATTGTGTTCTGCCCGGTGCTCCTAAGAATGAAAAAGTCCTTCCAAAGCCACGCCGGAGTCTGTCCAGTTCAAACCACTCGCTGGATAGTAACGGGTTGACTGTTAAAGGGTATTCTGAGTCATGGCGATTGAAGCTACAAGGAACAGAAACTCATTAGCTCAAATGACACAGGGGTCACAGCAGTGAGTCGGAGACCTCAGGCCCAGATCAAAATGCATCAAAATGCCAGCACCTTCAGCCAGCTTCCAGCTCAGCTCCACATTAATTATATTTATTTAGTTAGTTGGGGGCAACACAGGGTGGTAGTGAGACCATTTGGCTGACTGGCTTGGTGTGTCTATTTGACTCAGAGTTCATGTTCTCACCACATGCAGCCAGACATTGCTTAGGGGTAAGTCCCCAGATCCTGAGCCATTCTACCCAGGGCCCATGACTCTGAAGGTAATTGAGCTTATCTAGCACAGTCTGGAGAAGGGAGAGCTCCCACAGCAGGGCAGAGAGATCAGCAGTAAGCCCCACCAGAAATGCAAAGTAGCTAACCCCCCACACACACCGGCACTGCTCCCCTTCACAGGCAGCCGCCCGCATCGCTGACATCTTTGACGTGGAACCCAACAAGATGTGCATTGGGAGTCGCTCCCATGCCTTTGCCACCGTGCTGTTCACGCCGCAGGCCATGCAGACCTACCAGTGCATCTTCGAGGCTACTTTGGATGGCTTGCCCAGGTACCAGCTAGCCCCTCCCCTGTGGCAGCAGGGCAGCCCACGGGCTGCGTAGGGAAGTGTTCCTGCCAGGTTGGTCTCAAGCCACCTTGCTCCTCCTGTCCCCTGCAGCAACCTGGCCCGGAGCCGAGGTCTTGTGTTTGACATCGTTGGTGAGGGGACCCTCCCTCGAGTGACTGTCGTTCGACCAACTCTATATAACCAACACGGAAACCCCCTGCTCCTGTTCAAGAGGCTTCTGCTGGGTCACTCAGAGAAACTGCCTCTCATCCTTAAGAACAACGGCACCATCCCTGCCCAGGTAACAGCTGAGGGTGGCACGTGGGGTGACATGTTAGCCAGATCCTGTTGCTTTATTCCGCCTCACAGTTTCTGAAGTCTCAGGCCACAGTCCTTGGTTCTATTGATTCTAGGCCCGTGGCGAGAAAGAACATTATGGTGGCACTAGCCTACATGGTTTTCATTATGGTGACTTTGTAAACGCCCTAGCCCAGTGGTTCTCAACCTTCCTAGTGCTGTGACCCTTTAACACAGTCCTTGTGTTGTTTAATACAGTCCAACTATACAGTTATTTTCATTGCTACTTCATGACTGTGATTTTACTACTGTTGCGAATCATAATGTAAATGTCTATGTTTTCTGGTGGTCTTAGGCAACCCCCGTGAAGGGGCTGTTCGACCCCCAAAGGGACCACGACCCATAGGTTGGAAAAATAATGTTGTTCTACAGTCTAGTTCAGCGAGGTCCTGCACCCACTAATTTTTTTTCTTAAGAGTTTTTGTGTAGTCAGCCCATATATGAACTTAAGAATCCTTCTGTTATGTTCCTTTAAAACGATCTCATTGGAAGGAGCTGCAGCGATGGCTCCTGGTTAAGAGCACTGGTTGCTATTACAGAGGAGCCAGGTTTGGTTCCCAGCACCCACATGGAGGCTCACAGCCATCTGTAACTCCAGTTCCAAGGGATCCAAGACCCTCTTCTGAACTCCACAGGCACCAAGCATACATGTGGTGTGCAGACACACATGCAGGCCAAACACCCACATACATATAGTAAAATATATCCAAGAAAGTTTTAATCTCATTGGAATCAAAATGAAAGCCTACAGGTTATCTGGGAGAATTCCTGGTTTCAGAGTAACTGTCCATCAGGGACAACATTCAGGATTCTTGTCCATTCATTAGACTTTTTCCTCCATGTTTCTAAAATGTAAGTTCCTCCATATAGTTTCTCTCTTTTACATTTATTTGTTATCTTGCGTGCATGTGCATACATGAGAATGTGGAGACCAGAGGATAACCACAGGAGTCACTCCCTCCTCCCACCCTGTGGCTCCCTGGGATTGAACTCAGGTTGTTGGGCTTAACGGCAAGCATCCTTTACCCACTGAGCCAGCTCAGCACCCCTCCATTCAGTTCCTTATTAGAGTTATTTCTAAATATGTAATCTCTTATTTCAGTGCAGTGCCTCTGTTTCTCCCTTCTTTGGGTCACTTTATTTTATTTTATAATCAGCATTGCTACCTTCTTAAAAAGTCAGATTTCTCACACCTGGAATCAAATGGCTGGCTTTAGCCCCACTTGCTTTCCAATGGACCCAAAACCACTTGTTTTCCTTAAGTTGGTCAGAGGTCCACCTTGTTTTCCCTCTCCTCTTGCTAGGATGTTTACCATGACTGCAGCAAATGCATAGTTCCTTGGAGAAGCTAGCTTCTAGGAAATGGCATTTATGCACTCCTTCATAGAATTATGGGTATTCATGTCCATTTCATTATTGGAATGTACTCTTCAACTGCCTCTCTGTGTAACAGAAGCATTGGCAACCACTGGCCACTAACTGTGTAGTCTGGAAGGTTGCCTGCGATCTCTGGGCCTACTGTGATCTCCAGTTCCTACTCAGATACTAAGGGATGGCCTGACTGACTACCTATTTTTCCTATCCAGGTCTAATGTTTATTGCATATCTCTCTTAAGACTCTCAAAACCATGGTTCCTAGAGCTAGGGATGTGGTTCCATAGGTAACGCTTTTAACGCGCCAGTATAAGAAACAGAGTACATCTCCTCAGAAGCCACACAAAGGCAGGACAGGGAGTGGCAGTTACCTGTAATCGCAACACTCAAGAGGCAGAGTCTGAAGATCCCCGGGGCAAACTGATTGGCTAGACGAGCCTGACTCAGTGAGCTCCGGGTTCAGCAAGAAACCCTGCTTATATATTAAGAGGAGAGCAATTGAGGAAGGCACACTGTCAACTTTAGGCCTCCACACACATGCATACCTGCACACACATGTGCAGCCACACACACATACCATTCACACATATTCATGCAAGAGAGAGAGAGAGAGAGAGAGAGAGAGAGAGAGAGAGAGAGAGAGAGAGAGAATAAAGTGAATACTCCACATAATGGCTTTGGAGATTCTTGCCCCCAAATACAGCACAATATCACAGCCCAGACTCCAAATTCCTGAGCAGCCTGTAAGCTCAACTCCTTAACCTGACTTTCTTCCTGCCAGTTGCATGTGGACCTGCGGGACCAACTGGGAGTCTTCTCTCTGAAAGGGAGACCCACCACCTCCTACATCTACATCATGGAGGAAAACAAACCAAATGAAAAAGGTGAGTGGCGAGCAGATGCCTCGGTAGGGCGATGGGTCTCAGAAGCTGGTTTGCCCTGCACCTCTCAGGACCAAGCCACAGCTGGTGCTTGGTCACATCACCGGAAGCCCAGTGGCCTAAGCTCATTCCCTCAAAGGGGCTGCTTTTTTTTTCCATCCCTGGTCTTCCTGGAGATGTATTCTCCTAAAGTGATTTTGAATTGTAACCTCTTGTCTTTGATTTACAGTCAAAAAGGCCCACACAGCCTCCCTGGTTGTTTCTCCTGGAGACACAGCTGAATTCGATGTCTTTTTCCACTCCAAGAAGCTTGGGAGGATGACAGGCACCATCCACCTGTCCGTGATCAACAACCAGTATGAGGAGACCATGATCCACCTGGTGGGGGAGAGCTACGAGGATGACATCACCTTGGACAACATCCATGGGCTGATAGGTTCCACCAGCCAGGAGGGCTCAACTATGTCTGAGGTCATAGAGATTGCCGAGGAAACATCCATGGAGGACCTGGTGGCAGGTGGGAGAAGCCGAAGTGATGTTGACAACTGTTGACTCCCATCATCCCAAGTGAGAGTGGGGTTTAAAAAGTTGGTGCAACCTCCTGAGAAGTTAGGAACAAGTCTTTTTATCAGTATGAGCTCTGCCGTGCTGGGCTCACTCACTCTTTCTGTCCTTCATTTATGTGTGAGTTCATGCAGTGAACTCTTACTTAGCACCAAGTGCAAGTACCAAGCCCTACACTGAGCCATAGACTTGCAGATTAATAAGAAAGTCTTCGCCTTTATTGGGGAGCTTATAGTTTGATGCTGGTGATCCTGTTCAGCTCTTTAGCAAATGCGTGCTTCCCGGCAGTTTCCCTGTCTCCGGCTTGTGGTTGGATTGTGTTGGCATTGGGGATTTCATCTGGAATGTGTGTAGGCTTCCTAAGTGAAATAGTGGGCTTGTCTCATTTGAGATGGGATGGGCATGTGCCCCCATCCTCACAGCCGGGCTACTTGATGAGCAGGCCAGCAGCCTACAGCATCACATCTCCCAGGAACTTGTCAGAAACGGGAATTTCAGACCTGCCCTGACCTTCGGGATCATAATCCACATTTGAACCCGATCCCTGGGTGATGATGTGTTCAAGCTTAAGACATGCCTCTCTGCAGTGTCTAAAGCACTGAACCTTCCACTTAGGGGCTGGACTCAGCAAAGGAAACATTTCATGTTACACTAATTACCAAAAAGCACTCTGACACTACGCCTGATTGCTTCAAAGTGAATTGTAAATTCTGCTTCAAAATTTCCACAGGAACTTAACAATAGTCCTGGAATGTATAATCAGGGGCTAAAATCAACACTCTTTCTGTAATTGGTGTTTCACTCCTGTCTGAAGCTATGGCATGGCTCTCTAGTCAGGGGTCAAACAGGAGCTAGCAGTAATCCAAGTTTAGAGATCAGACTCCATACCTATTATGGGATTTCCAGGTTAGCAAACCTGAATACAGGTATTCCAAAGAAAATTAAGTTCCAGATAAACAATAACTTTTAGTATATGTATGTCCCCAAAGTGTTGCATGGGACATCTTTATCATAAAGAATTACTCATTGTTTATCTCTAATTCAAATTTAATTGAGAACCCTATATTTTAACTGGCAATCTAACATTTCATTGCATTTTCTCACCAAACAAATGACATTAGGATGTTTATTTTCTCTTGAACAAATAGAAGAGCCAAGGTAGGTGGGTAGATAGAAGTGATAGGTAGATGGGTGGGTGCATGGATGAATGGATGGATGGGTGGGTAGATGGATGGATAGATGGATGGATGGATCAATCGACTGATTGATCAATTGAGTCCTGGGAGGCAGATCTTTCTACCCAAGGTTTTTTCATATATAACCATCCAAGGAGAAATGAGAAAACTGTGAATGAGATACAGTATCTTGTATCAAGATATGCCTCCCTCATAAAACAGGCTCTTAAGAGAGGCCAGAGAGGATTCACTGCCTTCTGCTCTGACCCCTAGCTGCCCTGTTGGACCACATCCAGTTTGGGTACTGCCACATTGGAAACAACTACACCGTGAGCTTCACCATCACCAACCACAGCCAAGTGAATGTGGTTCGGTTCGAGTGGCCCCTTTTAGCTACGCTGTCTTTCTCCCCACAGGTAAGCAAAAGGCACTCACTAGGTTCCAGAATCCCTCAGGCCTAAGCCAACCTCCACGTGGATACATAGAATGGGATGTGACACATCTTGAACTAAGAAACTTCCCAGTAGCCATCCCACACTCAGAGCCCCGTGGCCTAAGAGGAGTTTAACAAATCCTGCCGTGGGGAAGAATGTGAGGAATTTTCTGGAGGCCTGGATAAATGACGAGAGGCCCCAGCTTCCTGTTCCACAGTGTAGAGCTGTGTCCCTCTGTGCATGTGTTATTCAGAGCATGACCTCCAGCATTGGCTCAACAAACCAAGAATGGTGCTCCGTACCTGCAATCCTAACACATGAGAAGTTCAGGCAGAAATACAAGCTCAAGACCAGCCTGAGCTATATAGTGAGTTCCAGGCCAGCCTAGGCTCCTGATAGATTCCAACACCATCTCGGCCCAAATCCACCCCTAAGGAATTGCTACAGAAAACTAACTGCACAGTATATGCCATATCCAGTTCTAAAGCCTTGCCAATTTCATTTAATCTTTTTTTTAATTAACATTTGACCCATGAGTAAACAGAGAGTATAATGGATATGAGAGGATAATCTAAGCTGTCAAAGAGAGAGCAGTTCACTTACATTGTGGATGGTGTACATGGTGGTGGTGTTTGTACCTTTGTCTTTATCTAAGATAAATCACAAGTCATTTTATTCTACAAACCAAATGGGATCTCCTTTACATCCAGTGTATTTGAGCAATTTAAAGCTTTTTCATTCAAACTCACGGCAAACCGGACTCACCCTCCCAAGTGCTGGGATTCGTGGCCTGAGCCACTGTGCCTCTCTTTGTGATGACATTTTAAAGATTCTCTTGTATGTATTTAAGTCAATCTACCTATATAGGCCTGGATAATAGATTTCAAATCACCACCAGCCATCTAAGAACCTTAAGATTGAATTCTCCAAAATACAAATACCAGACTTTTCCCTAGGTAGGCCATCTCCACCCCGGCTGTTCCAAGGACGTGGTGGTGACTCTGAAGTCAGATGTGCCCATCAGCCTGAAGAAGATGGATGTCAAGTGCACGCTGTCCAAGATCGTGTTCCAACTCCCTGCAGACCAGGTCCCTGACTGGGATGACCGAATGCGCACAGTCAAATGGGTGGATGCTCCCCGGAATACACCTGGGAACTTGACTACAAAACGAAAAGTGAGTATTTGGGGAACAGGAAGCACCAACCTCACCCAGCCCACCATGCTCGAATGCTTCCTGCTCTCAATTGCAGTGTCTCGCTGTGGAAAACAGGAAAGGTCTGCATCTGACTTTAGTTTCAGAAACGGCAGACTAAATCTCCATACCCTTCCTAACAACACGCACTGCCTTAGTTGGCAGTTTAGCTTCAGTCTTCATAATGGCTGCAGCAAGTCCTTTCACCTTTTCCTTCAAAAGTGCCATTGCTAGTCGTGGCTTCCTATTTCCATCAGGTGTCTGGACTTAGAGATGTTAGACCTTTCAGTTCATGACGGGATCTCATCTTTGGCCCACACATGCCCTTGATGTTATCCCTTGCCATTTTCCTTTGAATCCTATGAGAAATTAGCTCATGCCCCAAAAGGGGACTAGGCCCTGAATAGCTGTGCAGCTCTGGCCGTTGCATCCCTTTGTCTTCCTCCTAGAGGTAATCACCATCCGAGTCACTGCCTGGATGGATGGTTTGTTGACCTGAGCATTCTAAAGGACTGGCATGTAGCCGGGAATTGTCAAAGGTCACTGTATGTGGATTACAGCGCTAGGTTATTTGGGGAACAAATGACAATTTTATAATATTAACGTATCTTCCCTATTAGCAAGGTATTTCTATTTTTAGATCTTCTCTAAGACTTGCAACTCTTCAATCCTTTAGTAGTAATAAACTTTTTCCATTGTTTTCTTTAACATTGTTGTTCAATTTCTTTTACTTTAATTTTTTTACTATTCAATTACTTTTTGTGGGTTTTTAAATTTGTTATTGCATGGATTTTATTAAATTACTTTTCTTTTCCCTCTAAAAATTTTATATATATTTTCAAAAAATCATCTATATGTATTTTTAGACATGTAGGGTTGGTAGTAATGCACCCCTTTAACTAATGATTCTTGTTTTTTGCACTTTTCTTACTCCATCTCACCAAAGTTTTAAATCTTTTCTCAACTAAACAATTCTGTTGGTCCTCTCCATTTGCAATTCATTTTCTGTTTAATACCTCTATGGTTCTTTCCTCTATGGTTCTCTTTTCTCTATCTTTAGTTCTTGTTCTTGTTTTTGTTTCTGAAACAAAGTCTCTCTATATAGCCCTGGCTGTCCTGGAACTCTCTCTGTAGACCAGGCTGGCTTCATATTCACAGAGATCTGCCTACCTCTGCCTCCTGAGTGCTGGGATTAAAGGTGTGCATTACAGTGCCCAGTTCCTCTATCTTCTTTAGGGTCCACTCATGACCATGTGGTCCCAATCCTCCCAGGAATTGCCTGTTGTTCAGTTGTTCTTTTTTATTCTAAGCTATTAGAGGTTTGCAAGTCATGTCTCCTGGAACTGCATGTGTGGGCTCATGTTCATTTCCATGGTAGATTAAAGGAGTGTGATGTTCCCAATGTTCCTGTGGGTTGCTGGCTTTGCACTGTTGAGGATGTGGCTGCTTTTGTTCCAGGTGATAGAGACAGACCCTGAGCCAGCCCACTCAATACTAGAAGAAAATTACCGAGAGCTGCGGATCCGGATCAGTGCCAACGTGGATTTTGCTTCATATCAGTGCAACACAAGTGATGTGTTCTTTAAGGAAACACTGGTTTACCAGACTCGAGTGTTTGAGTGAGTCACTAAAAGCTTTTAGACTACGAGGAAAACTCCCATTAAGGGCTAAACAGTTGAATTTTTATATTCTTTATATCTTTACATAAATATTTTGCATCTTTTAAAAAGAAAGTACATTAAATGAATGAGTTCTGATGAAATTTCTTTAAAATGCTTTTTAAAAATATTTTCATCCAGGCATGGTAATTCATTCTACAGGAGGCTGAGACCAGAAAATCTTGAGCTCCAATCCATAATGGCCTTTATAGTAGTAACACTCAATCTCAAAATGTATTGTTTGAAACAGGGTATCACTAAGTGTCTCTGCCTGGCCTGGAACTCACTATGTAGACCAGGCTAGCCTTGAACTCACAAAGATGAGCCTGACTCTGCCTCTCAAGTACTGGGATTAAAGGTGTGCACTACAACTAGCTGTATTTGTTTTCAATCTTTTTATTTTATATTTGCTTTTTAGCTAACATGTGAAAATGGTACATGTTTACAAGGTAGAGTATGCTATTTCAATACAAACATACAGTATGTAATGATTGGATCAAAATAATTAGCATTTCCATCTCTCAACATTTATCTGGAAGCAGAACCTTCAGACTCCTCTCCCCAGTTCCTCATAAAATATATGGTAGGCTTTTATAAACTGTAGCACCCTGACTTACTGCCCCCCCACTGCACTGCATTTTGGTACCTATTATCCAACCTCTCTCTATCCATGCCTTCCCTCTGACCTGTCCCAGCTTCCAGTAATCATTATGCTAAGCTCTTCTACTTTGAGATTAAATGTATTAACTTCCACATGTGAGAAAGAATGCATGGTGTGTGTCTTTCTGTGTCTATTTTTGTTCATCGTGGTATCTTCCAGCCTCATCTACTTGGTTGAAAAGGACAGACTTATAGAGAACAGTAAAGAGGTTTCTCAAAATGAAACTAAAAATAGACCTACCATGTGACCCAACTAGCTCACTTCTGGGTATACAGGAAGTTCAATCCACATGTCAAGGAGATGTTTGCACTCCCATGTGGACACTACAGAGCAGCCAAGACAAAGGGCCAGCCTGGGTATCCACTGTCAAATGAGTGAACAGAGAAAATGTGACATACTTATGTATGTGTGCAAAAGAATAGAATTCAGACATTCAAAAAACAAAAGTACTTAAGAAATGAAGTGACTTGCCTTTGAGAAACAATACAGCCGGTACTTGGGTGGGGTAAAAGTATGGACAGCACATTCTGAAATCTGCTGCTGATCCACCCACAGGTTTGACCTCGTTAACACAGGACATGTGCTGTTAGAATTCAACTGGATCTCGGAAGATACCTCCAGGGCAGTCAGTTTTGCCATGCCAGAAAATCAAGGTAAACTCAATGCCAGATAAACCCCAGGGCCTGAGCCGAGTCACCCATTCATAGAAGGCCAGCACTGCTCACAGGGCCTCCTAAGTAGCTAAGGAATGGCTTTGTGGGGTTCACAAAGCCATGTGGACCCGAGAGATAAATAGCTTGACCTCTTCCTGTCCCAGATTCCTTGCCCAGGCCTTCTACAGTCCCTCCAGAGTGATGGCTCATGTCACCTATCACTAGTACTCTGGTCTTCTGGTTCTTGACCTGGAAGATTGCGGACCACTTAAAAACTGGCATGTGGGACTAGAGAGACACCCCAGCAGTTAAGAGCACCTGCTACTTCTTACAGAGGACTCAGGCTCAGTTCCCAGCACCCACATGGTGACTTATAACTGTGACTCCAGTTGCAGGGGATCTGACACCCTCTTCTGATCCCTGTGGCACCAAAAATGCATGCATGTGGTGCATATATATACATGCAGAAAAAGCACTCAGACACATAAAATAAATCTTTTTTTAAAAAAGGGAAAACTATGAGTTATTTTCCCAGAAAATTTTATATATATATATATATATATATATATATATATATATATATATGCCAAAGTGTATAGCTTATATGCACGAAGCTCTAGCAAGGGGCCCAGCACCTGGTAGGTAAAGTGTTCATTGTTTTTTCAATTGTGGAGATTCACAGATGGTTCAAATGGGCCCTTATCCATGGACGCCCACTTTGTAAATCCCTATATTAGATCAATGGCTCTCCACGAATTCTGTTCACAGACCATTATTTTGGTGCAGAAGATCCACAAACCCCTTCTTGACCCACTCTCTCTGAGCCAGAAGGAAATAAATCTGAAGACATCATAAAATGAATAGATGTGTTTTTCACAAGTCACCTGTGAAATATGAGTTGATTGCTTTCCTTTTGTGTCCAGGGTTAAACATGCTTGCTATAAGAGCTGGGTCCACAGATATCACAGAAGGTCCCTAAGGGCTTGTGAGTGGGCTGCCGCCCATTGCCACTGCAGATTATCACCTTTTCTCCATCTTCCCTCAGGTTCCAGCCAGAAAGATCAGCTTAGTCAGGGCACAGGCAGCACCCTGGACAGCGCCTTGGACCACTGGACGGACCAATGTCCCTCGCCCTTCTCAGTGGAACCCTCCTCAGGCTTTGTGCCCGTAGGGAAGACTCAGAAGCTCAAAGTGAAGTTCTCCCCGATGGACATTGGGGAGTTTGAGAGCACCCTGTACTGCCAGTAAGAAATGTGTCCTCCAAGCCCCCAGCTCTTACCCGCCTTGTCCACCCCACCACTGTCCTTCTTTCCTATTCTACACACCTCAGAGCCCAGTAGTGGAAAGGGGCCGGCCTTTAGAGAACAAGGAGAATGTTGTCTAAGCTCTGCTCACCAACTCTCCTGTCGCCTCCGACTGCGTACTGGCCCCTTCCTGGCCGCATTCAGGACTCCACTAAATGAGAGTAATTTGCAACCAGGCCGCATCTACGCTTTGGGAAAGCTTCCTTCTGTGTTCTCTGAGACTCCATTGTCTCCTATACAAACTTCAAGCAGCAATCCTTATCATGTAGAATTATTTGGAATACTAACTGAGCTAATTTAAGCAAAGAACTTGGAGCAATGCCTGGCCCACAATAAGCTCAATAAACAAAGATAGGAAGGGAAATTGGGTTGGTGGACGTGGTCTGGTCTGGCGTCTGGTAAGTGAAAAAAAAATAAGCAAATACATACATACATCAGTGAAAGTCCTAGATGCCAAGAAGGATTCCAAAGAGGAATTCTTCTAGAAGCCTTGGCCTAGGATGACGGAGACCTACATGAGCTGTCAGAGCTTCCCTGAGCCCCTGCTTTCATACCACAGAAACCCCTGCCACACTAAGGCCACCTCAGCTCGGCCCTGGAGCTGAATCTGTTCACATGCATCAAGTCTACAAGGGTCTTACAATAATTTTTTTTAGGATTTCCAGGTCCTTCTCTGTAATCTATTGGGTACCTAGGAGTGGACCCAGAGGATAAGCACTAATTTACAATTAATTTACAACTAATACTGATAGGAGGAAAAAACTTGGAGCCACATGTAAATACACAGAGGGACCCCAATTCAGGATCTTCATACTCAACCCACTCATCCATTCAACAATTAGTTAATGAGTACGTACCATGTAGAATTGCCAGTCAAGGCACAATATGATTGCTGATCAAGAAAAACCCACCCTCTGCTCATATGGAACTCACATTCTGGTGGACAGAATATTCATGTCCAACCAACTAAGAAAGCAGCAGCAGAATATAAAATCAAAATTAAAATAAGCTTGTCATTTCAGAATTCCTAACCTGCCATCAGGAGAGCAAGGCCCTATGCTGGTAACAAAAGGGCGAAGCATCCTGCCATTCTGCCATTTTGACCTGAAGGACTCAGACTACATCAGCGGTCATCGGCGCAACCCAGAGCTCCGAGGACCAAGTGTTGGGGCTCTAGACCCAAACACCCGGGTGATCGAGTTCACCAGTGTGGGTATAGGAGGAAAGAATCTCCGGTGAGTCATAGTGGGTTTGCATTGATTGAATCCATGCCAGTCAGTCCTTCTGAAGAACTCAGAGGAAGAATTCAGAGAGACTAGCTAACCTAAAAGCAGTTTTGAAGTCCTAAGGGTTTCCTGTAGGTATTTAACGTCAGAGAACTGGTACATGAATGAAGCTGGGTTCTGTGTCCACAGTTTTGGCTGTAGATTCCCTCACCCCCACCTTGACCACAGAGCATCCTTGGACACATATGGCCTTGGGAGCATTATCACTCCAAAGCCCAGGACTCCAACTACCTTTTAGATGCTAGGGGGAGATGGCATTTTTATTTCTACAGTAATGAAGTTCTCAGATCATTTCTGGCTCCTAGGGAGAGACAGTGACAGTTCTGGGGTCTACCTAAGTTTTCTTGAATTTTTTTAACTACCCTCTCACTTCCTGCTATCGATTTTCCCCCCTTTGTCCAGGACCTTTACCATCCTGAACCCGACCAACAGCACCTACTCTTTCTGCTGGACCTCTGAAGAAACGGAAAGTCTCCAGCACCCGCCAGCCTTTGTGTGCCTTACAGAAAAGGGTGTCATCCACCCTGAAAAGAAAGCCGAGGTGTGTGTGTGTGGCCAGGGACCCAGAAATTCTAGCCATCTCTGCATAGCAAGTGTGTGAAGAGAGAATAGCATTGATGAGAATCATTGGTCGACTAGTGTTTACTGAGTGGCCACCATGTACAATCCTGGTGAGCAAGAGACATCTGCGCTCTCTTGGATGGTTGTGGAGAAAGCCCTAGTATTTCAGGGATTTTATGAGACTATTAAAGGAGCAGATGGGAACCAGACACGAACATCTGGGGCTTCCTGGGCTCGTGGGATGAGGACCTAAAAAAAAAAAAAGAACTATCTGTATCTCAAAGACAGACAGCAGTAAAGGTACATGTTTTTACTTTCCCAAAGAAGGAGGCAAAACGTAAGAACAGAGTCCTAACTTGTGGCTTAGTCCTAAATGTCTCCACAGTAATACAGGGCAGGGAGTCAGATTTATGTGTGAACTTGACAGTCAAAGCATTCTCGTAGGCTCTATGGCCAGCAAGTTCGACAGAAAATCTTACACATAGCAATAAACCCATGAAATGGAAATTATGAATTCAAATACCTCCGGGAAGCTGGTGAGGTGTCTCAGCAGGAAGGGGGTGATTGCTGCCAAGCTTGAGACCCACATGATGGATGGAGAAAGCCAACTCCCACAAGTTGTCCTCTGACCTCCATATGTGTGCTGAGCACACAAGCACCCACCCACCCCCATCACCCACCCCACCCCACCCCTCACACACAGGGTGGGGGAGGTAAGAATAAATTAAAATGCTGGTGTTGGTTCTGGAGAGACAACAGTTAAGAATGCTTTTTATTCTTGCAAAGGACCCAAGTTCAGTTCCCAGCACCCATAACAGGCCTATAACCCCAGCTCCAAATGATCTGTCACCTCTGACCTCTGGACACCTGCGATCATATGCACATACCCACACCTAAACACCTACATACACATAATTAAGAATAAAATCTTTTTAAAAAATATTTAATGCCTTCTGTAAGGTCACCCAAATGAACAAAGCCAGCCAGGGGGAAAATGACAGGCAGTGCTGGCATCAAGGCCCACTGGCTTTACATCTCCTCTGGCAGATGATCACCACACAGACAAATAGACCCAGGAAGACCTGTTCTCCTAGACTTTTCTGGAAACACCAAATTTCTGTATTTCTGTGTGAATCTCTCTATCCTATGTATTGGTAGTTAGCTCATTATTTTTAACCCCCTCCAAACAAAATGAAGCATATCTGTAGACTCTCCACTTGGCTTCTGCATATTGACAGTGTTCAAAGCCATCTAGTTCAACATAGGATCCAGGACCACCATAGCTGTGGTTCTGCTTAGATAGACTCCTTCTCCATAGCTCAGAAATGTATCAAAAACCAACTCCTAGAGAGGCAAGTTGCAGAATCTGTCATCCAAGATTGTGCTGGTTTGGGGCAAGAGTAGTGTCATTCAAGTGACATATTTCCAGAACATCATTCCTGCATTATCTTGTCATTGGCATGGACCTTACCAAATGCTATCGTTCTTCCATCCAATCCTGATCAACCAAGTACAAAGAGACTCATTCAGGTTCGCTTCCCCCGGGGGGAAGGGAGCCAAACACCTATGGTAGCTTTTGAGAATGGACTCTCCTACCAGGTCTTTCTGCTTCTTTCTAGAAGTCTGCTCCATTTTCTCTCTACCAGCCAGTTTCTTCCTATCCTCATTAGTGATGTTTTTGCTCCTTTGTATCTTCACTTAGCAAATAGACTGTGGCATGCCATGGCCCAGCTCATCCTCAAGGAATCCATCCCATCAATGTCACTGCTGTCCAGCCCAGTCACTCATTATCTTTTTCTGACTTTCAGAGACAGGCAGGCAGGCGGGCGGGCAGGCGGGCGGGCAGGCAGAGGAGAGAGAGAAAGATCTTGTTGCCCTGGTAGTGATTTTGAATTGGGCTCTATGTCAGACTGTTGACAGACATGTAGGTTGTCTTTCTTTGGTAAGGGTGCAAGTTCCGGTCCCCTGTGCTACAATCGTGCCATCCCAAAGAATGGCACAGACTACAATATAATCATGACGCACAGGCTGTGGGTGTGGCAGACGGCTCCGCTCTTCCAAAGGCAGGGCAAACTGGTTGACGTTGCTGATAGAGCCACACCTGCTTTAGATGGTAATGATAACCTGGGGAAATGTCACTTCTTATGGCCCTCATGCTAGGAGGTCTCCAAAGGGACAAAGAAGAAGCTCACTGTCCTTTTCCGAATTGTCTTCTTAGGTTATGTTCCAGTTCCTGCCTGCTCACCTGGACATCACAGAGGCACTCTGGACGTTCTCTATCCCAGAGCATAATATCTCGGTCCCCTTCCTGCTGGTGGGCAAAACCACAGACCCCCTCATATCTCTTGACAAGTCACATCTCAACTTCAGCTCTCTCCTCATTGGTAAGAAGGCCCAGTCAGTTTTTCATTTTGAGCTGGCATGACCTTAGGTCATCAAGGACTCCAGGAACAGACCATCATAGGACACTCCTCTTGGAACCTTCTAGAAATATATCAGAAAGACTCCGTCACTTATCAGAGAACCATATAATAGTTTCTTCTGAATCTCATTTCCATCAACTGTCTTTGGCAGCCACACCCTAACACCTTGGGAATACCTGGGAGGTTTGTTATAGAGTCTCATGGGCAGGTTCCTTTGGGTCCTGCACTGATTCTTCATCTTTAGAGCTGTGTGTTTTGTCCATGTCTCTCACCTCCAGGCCGTGGGCTGTGTTTTATTGGTGCTTGGTCTGTTCCACCATGTTCAGATTCCTCTACCGTCTTTTCATGCATTCACTGGGTCAGAAATTGTTACTGATGGGCTGAAGGGAGGTGTGGCTCGGTGGGGTGCTTGGCAAGCATGCGCAAAGCCCTGGTTCAATCTCCAGATCAGGGGGTGGGGAGATACCAGATTGGCCCAAATACTCCTTTGTGGGATGGGAATACACTAAAATAAAGCACAAAGTTCTCGGGTTAACATTCTAATCATGGGATGGAGACTAACAAAACCAAGTAAAATATATAGTAAATCAGAGGCTGCTGTGTGTTATAGGAAAGAACGCAGCAGGGTAGAAAGAAGAGGGATGTGGTAGATGCTGACAAGGTAACATTCCAGCAGAGACCTGTGGTGTAGAGGAAGCAGCCACCAGATATAATAACTCTGTGTGTCTTTCATGTGGATATGAGTGGGACATGTAAAATACAACTAAGGCCAAAGAATTTTCAAGTGATTAGTTAGATGTTTATTTAGACAACAATATTCTGCCGGCCGGTGGTGGCGCACACCTTTAATCTCAGCACTCGGGAGGCAGAGGCAGGAGAATCTCTGTGAGTTCGAGGCCAGCCTAGTCTACAAAGTGAGTTCCAGGAAAGGCGCAGAACTACATAGAGAAACTCTGTCTTGAAAAACCAAAACAAATATATATATATATATATATATATATATATTCTTGATAGTAAGCCAAACAATATGAAGAGTTTAACCCACAAATGCAGTGATTTATATTTCAGTATAATCATTATATCAATAATGAAGAACATATGTTCATGCTAATGTACCAAAAAGTCATTGCTAAAATTCATCAAAAGTTCTTCCCTATCCCCACCCTCAAAAACCCTCCAGTAATAAAACAAGAGTTGGAGGGAAAACATAAAGAATATTAACCTATAGCAAGAGACAAGCAAATGGTGTCCTGTGGTAAGTCACTGAAACTACTAGAATTAAAATGAGTTAGACAAGAGTACTTACCATGACCTCTATAACCAAACATTTTCTTAGAGATTTTAACAAATAGGAAAAATCAAAAAATAAGCACAATGGGCATTAACTTTAAGGGAGAAAGAAAAAAATCATCTAAGTTGCTGTGACTAATCACTTTGTACACATAAAGCCTCAAGAGTCAAGAGAGAGAAACTACTAGAATTGAGATAATTTGGTAAAACGAGTGAGACAAATGTGCAAAAAATGAACAGTTTCGTCCCATTTTGTTGTAAATACCTAGAAGCAAAAACAAAAGTAAAAACCAGTTACTGCTAACTAAGTGTACAATATCCAAAGATAAATCCAATTCCTAAGACCTATATGTCAAGAGTTAAATCATATTAGCATGCTTCCAAATAAGGGCTAAACATTTGGTTAGTTCTCCCAAAATTAAATGCAATTTTAATCAGATTTCAATTAGAATCCCAGCTAGGTTTCCACAGGATTCACAGTTAATTTCAGATAGACTTGATGTTAGTATAGCTATGTCCCAAGTAGTACTTGGTTCACATTTATGCTAATAAAAGTTATTTGTGAAATCTGAGAGCCTCAATCTCTAAAGGACTGAGGAAGAGAATTGGATAAGTTGATCCTAAAGTTTTATAGGCAAATGTTTGTTTGGTTGTTTGGTTTTGGTTTGTTTGTTTGTTTGTTTGTTTTCCAAGACAGGGTTTCTCTGTGATACCGTCCTGGCTGTCCTGGAACTCACTCTGTAGCCCAGGCTGGCCTCGAACTTACAAAGATCCACCTGGCTTCTCAAGTGCTGGGATTAAAGTCATGTGCCACCGCCGCCCAGAGCAAATAAATGTTTTAACATTAGCCAAAGAGAAAACAAAAGAATGAATCAGGACCCTGCACAGGAAAGCCCAGGGTCATCCAAGGTCAAATTCAAAAGAAGAATTCTTTATGGAGATGTGGGCCATCGAAGGGGATGAGGAGGATAATGACCCAAGAAGACATTACAACTCCTGAGTGAAGGAGCAAGGGAAGAGAACGGTGTCAGGAGCGTCCCAGCAGGGCTGTGGCCAGGTCAGAGAACCTACCTTCTCGACAGAGCAGTCAGTTAGGGAAGAGACATTCTAGAAGGAAGATGTGGAACCCCTCCAGGAGGAAGGTCCCTGGAAAAGCAAAAGGAAGGAAATGAGGCAGTCCATGGCTACCCTGAGACTGCTCTGTGAAGCCTTCCTCTTACATGTGGGCCGTTATCTGCTACAGTATCTCAGTGACCAGGCAAGAGGCCTTTGCTGAGGGCTGCTGTTTCCTCCCCAGGCAGAGAAGTCCGAGAGACTGTGAAGATCATCAACAAGGAGGAGCATGGGTTCAATTTTGCCTTCCAGGATAACTCTCGTTTTTCTGAAGGATTCAACAACAGCCTGGTTGTGTGTCCCATGGAAGGCTGGATCCCACCACTGTCCAGGTAAGTACAAAGGACGTCCTCGGGATGCATGCAGGGTCCCAGGCCTTTCATTTATTAAAAAATCTCTTCTGGGTCATCAGGATGACTCAGTGGTAAAGGCACCTGCCACCATGCCTGACAACCTGAGTTCAATCCCCAGAACCTAAATGTCCATGGGAGGAGAGAACTGACTCCCACAGGTTATCCTCTGACCTCCCTCCACACGTGTACTGCTGATGTACACATGCATGTGCACGCACACACACACACACACACACACACACACACACACACACACACACACACACCAAAAACAAATCCTAAAGAAAGAAAAATGAAAACCTCTCCCAACTCTAATATATATGCGATTTCATCTCTCTTCTGCCCGACTCCCCTTGATAAATTATGGGGCATTGAAATTTTTCATTTTTTTTAATGTGTGAATGAGTGGTTTGCCTACATGTCTGTCTGTGCACCATATGTGCAACATGCTGCTGAGGGCAGAAGAGGGCATCAGATTCCCTAGGACTCGAGTTACAGACAGTTGTGAGCTGCCATGTGGGTGCTGAGAGTTGAACCCTGGTCCTCTGGAAGAGCAGCTAGTGCTCTTAACCACTGAGCCACCTCCCCAGCCCTAATCCTAATCTTCATCTTAATATTTTTCTCATGTCCATAGCCTTTTCCTTGTGGTCTTGTGCATATGAATCCACAAAGCAGTACCAAGCTTTGCCTGGAAAATCTTTATAATTCACTTAATTTGGAGTGGTGGTGGTGGTGGTGTCCTTTGTTCAGAGTGTATCTAATATCCAGTGGACTCTTGTTTTATTAGATTTTAACAGGCCAGCCTAGTCAATTAATCTGCTGTCTTGTTTCCCTATCAGTTTCCCAATTGATATTTTCTTCACACCAAAGCAAGAAGGAGATGTGAACTTTAATTTGATCTGTAATGTAAAAAGGAAAGCCCACCCTCTGACACTAAATGTCAAGGCCGAGGGCTACACAATGAACGCAGAAGTCAAGTGCAGAGACAGGACAGGCTCCACCACCCTCTTGATGTCCAACCAGATCAACACCATCAACTTCTATGAGGTAAGGGGTAACAAGACCATCACTATCTCTCTACCTTTAGCTAGGGGACATGGTACAGTGAGTATGAGCTGAGTCTTCCTGTCTCAAATACTAGAGAGACCAAACAAATCCACCCTCAGAATTATGATGGGAATGTTTTTATTATTTTTTGGAGGATGAATATGACATGAACACTTGGCATTAAACAAAAAGGAAAGGTTTTCACTACCAAGAAAGATCTAAAAATTAAATTACCAACTTACACGCCAGATATAGGAAGACCCCACCACTTGGTGGGTCTTGCTAGAATATCGAATTCCCTTCAGTTAATAACGCCCAGCTTAGCAATATCACTCTTCATCCTTATTTCCCAAAGAACTTTTCTGCCTAAACAGGGTATCTATGGTTTTTTCATTCTCTGCTCTGTTCTCCCTCTGTCTCTCAGGTAGAGTTAAATGAATGTGTGCAGTGTGAATTCAACTTCATCAACACTGGCAAGTTCAACTTCAGCTACCAGGCAGAGCTCTCTGGGCCAAAAGCCCTGTTGCAGTACTTGGACTTCACGCCCACCGACAATAGCGTAGATGTGGGGCAGTCAGAACCTGCCAACCTGTCTTTCCAACCATATCAAAAGTGTGTCTTGAAGGGCCTGGAGCTCAGAATCAAGGTGAGACCATTTAATGTTTTCCAGACGCTAAAAGAATCTGTGGTTGTGGCCCCAGCTGGTTAGTTTAAGCAGTTTCTACAGGGTGGTTGATTTGGAGACAGCTCCACAAGCTCCGGAACAGAAGCCTCAGCAGTGTCAGCCAGAAAGCAAATAACGGACCACACACTGTTCAGACATTAAACTAAGTGGGAGGGCTGGATAGGGCAGAGAAGGTATACACACAGCACTCTCCGAGATGAGGTGTTAAATGAAAAGCCGAGAACAGTGATGTCAGATAAGGACATCTAAAAGACACTCTGACGTCAGGGACAACACTGGCAAACCCAGCTTCCTCAGAACTACAGAAAGTGACTGTCCTAGAAGCATTTATACCAGAATGACTTCAGATCCATAAAGACAATGAGGTCTGCAGTGTTCAGTTCGCCCTATTCCCACCTTCCAGCATCCCCCAGTCTCTGCAGCAGTCTGGGTAGACAAGAGCTCTGCAGTGAACCATACCGACGGGTAACCTCTTAGCCACCGGAGCAGGAAGAGTCAGTTTGGACTGCCTCAAAAGCTCCACTGTAAAGGAACTGTCATTATTATCCCACTCTAGAAGTTCATGTGTGTGTGCATGTCCTTTACCCATGAGCCATCTCGTCAGTCCCCAATCTAGAAGTCCAATGGGAACTTCTCTCTATTCACAGGGCTTATTTTCATTTCAACCGAATCAAAGTTAGGCCACTTTACACCTTCTTTTGTTATGGGATATTTGTCCAGAATAGTCAGTAACAAGTGTCAAACAGTTGCAGCCGCCTACGGTGGCAGTAGCACTTGGGGACAAACAAAGGGACAAGTTAGAGGAGTATCTGTTTACAGGGGTCTTTGAGAAGCTTCAGCATATTCACCGCATCAAGACAGCATCACATGGACACATGCATATCGTGGGCCTGAAATACTGTTGAGGAGGCCATCAATTCTTACCTCTAGCATTCCAGGGTGAGGCCAAGAAGAAAGTAAAAGACTTTGCCCACAGGCCAGAGAGAGATAGCTCAGTGGTTAAGAGCACTGGCTGCTCTTCCAGAAGACCTGAGTTTGATTCCTAGCACCCCAATGGCAGCTGGAAACTGTAATCCCTGTCCCCAGGACCTTCACAGGTTCTGCATTCATGTAGTACACATACATATATGCAAGTAAAATACCCATACACATTAGATAGATAGATAGATAGATAGATAGATAGATAGATAGATAGATAGATAGATAGATAGATAGATAGATAGACTTTACTCATTTAAACAAGATAGGAGACACCCCTTTATCTTTTGTTTTTGTTATTGTTATTATTGTTTTGGTATTTTAAGACAGGGTTTCTTTGTGTAGCCTTGGTGTCCTGAAACTCACTCTGTAAATCATGCTGGCCTCAAACTCACAGAAATCACTCTGCCTCCCAAGTGCTGGGATTAAAGGCATGCACCATCACCACTCAGCTGCACTTTTATCTCTTAGTTACAACCCAATGGCAGAACTATATCCAGTGGCTACCCTGAAACACAAGGGAAGATGAGAAATCAGCCTTTCACTTAGACCTGTTGGCAACCACAGTCCCACCCTGTATGATAATTAGCCATTTCTGCCAGCCACTCTGTCTTCAGGCTATAGGAACAGAGCAAGAGCCAGTGTAGACTCTGATTAGAGTAGCAAACTGTAAACAAATAAACGCAGTCCTATTGAAACAGACTCTCTGGAGATGGCACCCCGAAACCTGTAATTTGTAAAGCACCAACCACTTTCTTTCTTATCCTGTGGATGCAATTGCCCTGTCTTCCTGCCTCTAATTACAGGCCTCTGGCCCATCTCCTTGCAGATCAGCCACGGCCCAACATTCATATGCAACATCTTAGGCTGTGCTGTGAGCCCAGCTGTCCATTTCTCCTTCACCAGCCACAACTTTGGGACTTGCTTCATCTACCAAGCTGGGATGCCGCCATACAAACAAACCCTCGTTGTCACCAACAAAGAAGAAACCTCTATGAGGTAAGCGGTCTTCACAGAGAGGTAAGATGATTCCACAACAACTTGAGGAGTCTACAGCCTCCATGTAGGGGACATCCTGTCTTCTAATTTCATCTCTGTTGCTGTAATAAAGCTCTCTGACCAACAGCAGCTCAGGTGAGGGAAGGGTTTATTTCATCTGACACATCCAGGTCACAGTCCATCATGGAGGGAAGTCAGAGCAGGAACTTGGGGCAGGAATTGAAGCCAGAACTGCTTGGCTACTCCACTGAGCCTTACCTCCTACCAGGGAACTCACAACCAAGGAAGTACAGCAGAAACCATGGAGGAATGCTGCTTCACAGCTCACCCTCAGACTCAGGTTTAACTCATTCTCTTATAGGCCAGGACCACCTGCCCAGGGATGGTGCCACCCATAGTGAGCTGAGCCCTCCTGCATCAGTTAACAGTCAAGACAATCCCCCATAGACACGCCAACAGACCAACCCGCTAAAGACACTTACACAATTAAGCCTCTTTTTCCCCCCAGGTGATTCTAGACTGTATCAAGTTGACAGGTGATGCTAACTAGTTCATTTTACCAAGACAGAAATGATGAGAAACATCCAGCACAGGTGACATTAATCCTGGTTCCCTATCTCCACCATTAATATGAATACTTGGGCATCCATGAGTTTCCTGCTAAACATCCTCTTTTTGATTTGTAGAGGTGTCTTAGTTTGGGTTTTTATTGCTGTGAAGAGACACCAGACTTCACATTGCTGTGAAGACACGGCAACTCTTACAAAGAAAACATCTAACTGAGGTGGTGGCTTACAGTTTCAGAGGTTCAGTCCAGCAGCAGCAGGATGGGGAGCATGGTGCTGCCATGCAGGTAGACATGGTGCTGGAGCTGAGAGAGCTACATCTTGCAGGCAACAGGAAGTCAACTGGCTGTCACACTGAGTGAAACTTGAGAAAAAGACCTCAAAGCCCGCCCCCACAGTGACACACTTCCTCCAACAAAACCACACCTACTCCAACATGGCCACACCTCCTAATAGTGCCACTCCCTTTGGGGGCCATTTTCTCTCAAGCCACCACGAGAAGGCTGTGTCAAATGACTACCTAATGCAAACTCCAGTAGCTTCTGTTTCATTTCCTCATGCAATAGATTTGGAAAGAAGGTGAGAGAGTTTAAAAGTGAATTGCTCTGCAGTAATTAGCAGGTCTGTGCTGAGCCTAAATCTTCCAGATAAAACCCAGCCTGCCTGTATCACCCCTGTAGAATGTTTCAGTCCAGGTCTCTACACCTCTTTTCAGACCAAATAAGAGAATCTAGTTCAGCCACTGATCTGTTTCATGCACAGATCTCTGTATCAGCCCTACAGAGAACATTGCGCAGTGGAAAAACATTGTTATCTACGCTGTCCAATATGATGGCCTTTAGCTGTATGTAGCTTGGTGTAACCAAAGAACTGCATTTTAATTTAATTTTAATTAATTTTAACTTTAATTACTACTGTGTCTTGTCACTACCACATCGGATGGCATAACCCCAAGTTCAAGTATCAACTCTTTCATAGCTGTAACACTGAGCAAATTTATTTTGTTTTACTCTTTTTGTTTTTGTTGTTGTGGGGGAGTGTATTGTCTGTTAGTTTTGAGATGACGTCTCACTGTGTGGCCCAAGCTGGCCTAGATCTCACTATGTAGCCCAGGCTGGCCTCAAACTCATAATCCTTCTATCTCAGCCTCCTAAGTACTAGGATTACAGATATGTACCACCATGCCAAACCCATATTTTAAATTTTTTAATTCTCTATGCCTGTCTCCTTGCCTAAAGTAGGAGACCACATCTGGAAGCTGTAAATGGAGGTTTTTCTCTGCCCCACCCCATCCTGCAACTGTTTCCAAATAATCCCTCAGAGGCTTATATTAATTATAAATGTTTGCCCAATGGCTCAGGCTTATTACTAGCTAACTCTTACATTTAAATTAACCCATATGTTTTGCCATGTGGGTTCATGGCTTGTTACCTCATTTTCTATATATCTTCCTTCTTCAGTGGTAGCAGACTGGCATCTCTCTGACTCTGCCCTTCTTCATCTCCCTGTATCTCTGGCTTTCCCGCCCAGCCTTATTCTGCCTGGCTGTAGACCAAACAACTTCATTATCAACCAATGAGAGAGACACATATTCACAGCATACAGAAGGACATCCCACAGTATTTCCCCCTTTCTGTCTAATCAAAAAGGAAGGTTTTAACTTTAACATAGTAAAATTATGTACAACAAAAACAATTATCAAGTAAGAGTCAGTTACAGTATCCAGTCTATTTGTATTTGGCAAAATTAAAAAATACTCTATTATCTATCCTATCTTTGTGAGTCTAAAGTTTCATATCCAATTTACCTTTTATCATAATTTAGGAAAACTATAATTATAACTATCAAGTCTTCAACTCCATCAAAGACCCCAGAAGAGGGTTGTAAGCAACTTCCAAAACTCTAGAAATGACAGAGACATCTGGCTGCCTGGACAGTCACCCAAAATTCTTCTGTAATGTTGAGACATCCATCCTCAGCCTACAGGCCTAGAGTATCTGGCAAGCTTTTCAGTGAAGCAGGAAATTTGAAGAACTGTCCTGCCTATTTTGGTAAAGTTTAGCAGTCACTTTCCTGTAGATCCTGCATATCCAGTTTATATAGCATACTGCCAAGCAGTCCAGGCAAGAGCAGCTTCTTGCCCAAATGGCTAGCCTTGCCACATTGAAAGCAAACTCCATAAGGAGTTTCTTCGATGCCCATCATCCTCTTTGAAGTAATTGGTACTGCCAGAAGCAGATGTGTCTCATTGCCATGAAAAAGCTTAGGTTAACAAAACATTTTAAATGCCATAGGAAGTAGTACTTAGAACAGTCTCTGGAACTCTTACTGTTAGCTGCTGCTACTGCTGTAATTATTCTAGATATTAAATCACAAGACTGCTATTTAGTTTTAAATAAATTTAAAATCTTACCTACCAAGATGGAGAGATGGTTCAGTGGTTGGGAGCACTTGCTACCCTTGCAGAGGACCCACATTCCATTCCGAGCACCCACATCATGGCTTATAAGCATCTCCAACTCCAGTTCCAGGGTATCTAACATCCTCTTCTGACCTCTGGCATGCATGTGGTATGCATATATACATGTAGGCAAACACTCATAGACACAAAATAAAAATAAATACTTTAAATCATATCTACTTATAGTCTTCCATTTACAGTTTGATATCATGCCAGTCTACTTAAAAGCTTTGAACTCTGTGCATCCATTAAGGTAAACCCCTTGTCCAAAAACACATCAGGAAGATGAGGAGAAGTTCTCCTAGAAAAGTCTAGGTGCTCTCCACCCAGGGGGAGTAGGGTAGAGATGATCTTCCATCTGACCTCTGAGGGTGCCAGGCATACACAGTGTACATATATACACACACAGGCAATACATTCATACATATAAAAATGAAGATAAAATAAATCTTTTAAAAATTATTTTAAATAAAATAAGTTTTAAAAAGTGCTTTCATAACTATCTCATTTAATTCCTACAACAACCCTATGAAGTAGCTGCCACTAACCCCATTTTACAGGTAAGGGAGCAGATCTGAATGCCCTGAGCAAATTTTTCCGTGTCACGTGGTCACATGGGTAGTTATTGGCAGATCCTGATCCACACTCCTGTCTGCCCAACTCTAGAGCACTGCACCCTGCTGAGCTTTGTCACCAGGGACTTCTGAAGCGCTTTCCCCTTGTGAAAGAGTGCAAGACTTTGAGAGGCATTTTCAAGAAAAAGGGCATCAATGGATTGAAAGTGTGAGCTTTTGGGTTTGAGATCTGCTCCCACCCACACCTCAGGATGTAACTTAGGCTGAATAGCTTGACTGCACCTGAACGAACATGAGCCGGTCATTGCTGCCATCCCTTCCAGATCGTTGGTGACTCCTCTGACTCTAGGACAGGAAATCGGTCACCTTTCAGCCCAGAAAGCATAGGGGACCCATCAGTCTCTCCAGTTCTGCCTTCCTGGTGCTTACCCCCCTTCCTCTTGGTCTTCCCCAGCCTAGATTGTTTATACACCAACACCACACATGTTGAGGTGAACTTCAACGTGGACGTGATAAAGCCAGGGAAGACACTGGAGATCCCAATTACCTTTTACCCTCGGGAAGCGATCAGCTACCGAGAGCTCATCCCCTTTGAAATCAATGGGCTCTCTCAGCAGACAGTGGAGATCAGAGGGAAAGGTACAGAAATGAAGGTAAGAGGCAGTGGGCGGGGCTTCAGAACCCTCCTCCTTCCTCTTCCCAGACTTCCTGCTCACTGGAACCCACACACCTCTCCACCTCCTCCTCTCCTCTTCTCCTGGGATTGCTCCACCCAGTATCATCTGGCCCCACCAAGATGATGCCCCTACTCACAAAAGGTGGGGAGGAATTTTTCAGCTAGGCTCAAGGGAACCCCAGCTCCTACTCAGAATCACTGTACTGATGAACTCTGACAACTGCAAGCACTTAGAAGTGTTCAGCGTCTTCTTGGAGAAGTGTCACATACAACATCCCACTGGACATCGTGGCTTATGCAGACATGGGGTCAGCTGTGAACTATCCCTCCTTCTCACCCTCACTGGTGAATGTTCTCAGCCAGCTGTGGGTTCCAGGATTACATTCAGAAACTCCTCCTGCCCAGGTGACCCAGACCTGTAGGCAGTGGTCCTGATAGTCACCCCTGTGAAACTGGCAGCTGATAACTATGTCTGGTATTTTTCTGGTGGCAGCATTATATTGTAACAGAAGGTTTGAGAAGTCTGAAAAAAAAATCAAGGTTCTCAAGAATGCAGAGGATATTTCAACAAATGAGCAAGGAAAGGGGTGTGTGGCCACCTCCCCTTAAGCCACAGGAGCAAAAGGCACCTCTTGTGCCTTATCAACACAAAGCACAGCTCTTGCTCCAAAGAGAATTAGAAAAAATTCATTGTGAGCTAAATATGAGAGACCAAGGGTTGGTAGCAAGATCTGGGTTAACCTGGGGGATGTGGTCCACAATCCAAAAGGCTGTGTGAGCTTTTATAGTCAGAACAAAAGAAAGTCACAGGTGTTTGTGTGTGTGTGTGTGTGTGTGTGTGTGTGTGTGTGTGTGTGTGTGTGTGGTCTTACACGTGCACATTGATGGAGATGAGTTACACAGAGAGGGGAAATCCCTTCTACAGGTTTTGGAGGTTCCAATGCTCATGTCTCCAGGGTTGGGGAAGCTAGTGATGAAATGAAGGAGCACCTGACCTGAAGCAATTAGGTCATGGAAAGAGGGAGCTGCCCATGCTTCTGTGGACATAAGCATCGTGTTTGTTTTCCACATTGACTGACAAACTCTGCTCTCCACTCTTTCTGGTCACACAGATCTTGGTTCTAGATCCAGCCAACAGGATCGTGAAGTTAGGAGCTGTCCTGCCAGGACAGGTTGTAAAGAAAACTGTTTCCATCATGAACAACAGCCTTGCGCAGCTCACCTTTAACCAGTCTGTCATGTTCTCCATTCCAGAACTCCAGGAAGCCAAGGTCAGTGTAGGGAAATGGGGGGGACTGGGGCAGGCCATGGGGGTTTGCAGGATATAGAAAAATTGGCTATGAGAGGCCAGCCAGAGCAAGAAACCCAGAGAGTATCCCATCCCAGGACTCCATGCTGCCCACCATCCCATGCAGACAAAGAGGGAAAACTCTTTATTCCCCATTCTTCAGAAATCCAAAACGAAACTCCTCAGTCCCAGCGGGTCAGGGCCATTAACAGCCCAGCTGGATCAGTGTTTGCTTGGTGGGTTGGTTGGTCTCTTTATCAGGGGTGGGAATAGAACCCAGGATCTTTCACTTTGTGTACAAGTGCTCTGCCAGCGAACTGTACCCTCAGATGGCTTTATCAAATCGCCCCTTAGGGGGTAACCAGAGTTGTTAAGGTGACCTGCCTTGAGATGTTACCTCAGGCTAGCTCCCAAAGTCATGCCCTTTGGGAAATCCCCAGAACTGTTTTCTCCTGTGCCCTCCCCTCACCCCCTGCCGCCTCCCTCCACGCCTGCCTGCCGACTGCTCTGCGCTCTGGACAGAGAGTATAAGGAGCTGGCTTCCTTACAACAGATTTGGGTTTGCTTCTTACCAGGACTAAGGGGAAAGAGGAAGCCAGATAGGCATTTATGCAGTGGCTCCCGAACTTTAGAATACAAGTCACCTGGGGAACTTTAGAAAATGCAGGTTCTAGACCATCCCGACACACTGATTCAGCTGGCCTGAGCAAAGCCTGGGGTCTGTATTTTATTAGGCCCAGTACTTACTCTTCATTATTTGTATTTTTAGTTAGCACACAAAATAATAGTTTTATCACAACCTTTTAATTTGTTTGTTTGCTTGTTTTGTTTTGTTAATTTTTTTGAGACAGGGTTTTTCTGTGTAGCCCTGGCTGTCCTGGAACTCATCCTGTAGACCAAGCTGGCCTAGAATTCAGAGATCCGCCTGCCTCTACCTCTTGAGTTCTGGGATTAAAGGCATGTGCCACCACTCCCGGCTCATTATGACATTTTTGCACACATATGTATGTATGTGATTGTACCTTGTTCTTATTTACCACCCCCAACTCTCCTTTCCTATCCCTGTTCCCCCACTCCTGCTGTTCCCCTTTCTCCCCTCAGAAAGTCTCTTCTGCTTTCTTATCATGTGTGTGTGTGTGTGTGTGTTTGCAGATGTTACATCTAGAGTCAGCACAGGAGAAAAAGCATACAGTGCTTTGCATTTCTTCCCCACCCCCATCCTGTCTTGTTAGCTCTCCCCCTCCTTTAGACCATTTCCTCTTCACTCATAGTCCTCCTGCTCCTTGCAAAGCGTGTGCGCACATGTGTGTGTGTGTGTGTGTGTGTGTGTGTGTATAGTTAAATACATACATATATAGTTAAATCATGTGAAATGATTAAATGTTAAATGAGAGGAAACATGTGATCTTGTATTTCTGAGTCTGGCTTAGTTCACGTAACCCGATGCTCTCCCATCTGGGAGCACTTGAGGGAGCACTTGAGAAAGACTGGATTGATGCTCCTTGTTTCATGTTTCCTGCTACTGTTTCCTCTACCATGGAGGAGGAAGGAAGAATGAAATGCCCAAAGGAGCTGAAAAATGGAACAGTACAGGAAATTAGCAGTTGTTGGCTCCCTGTCATATGCCCCACATTTTACAGACGTGATCTTGCCCTTCACTGAAGGGCAAGCAAAGGGGAGAGTCTGAGTAACTTGTCAAAGATGACCCAGCTGGTAACATGAGATTTGATGCCTGGGCTGAGAGCCCCAGCAGCAAGACCTCAGGACACGGGGGCCCGAGGAGCCCCCCTGCCTTCAGCTCCTGAGTCACGTTGTCTTTCTGTCTAGGTCATCACCTTGGAACCCTTCCACAATATCACCCTGAAGCCCAAGGAAATCTGCAAGCTAGAGATTACCTTTGCCCCCAAGAAGCGCATCCCTCTTTTCTCTGAGGAGGTGTTCATGGAATGGATGGGACTACTGCGTCCCCTCTTTCTCCTTAGCGGCTGCTGTCAGGCCCTAGAGATTTCCCTGGACCAGGACCATCTTCCCTTTGGTCCTGTTGTGTACCAGACACAAGCCACAAAGCGCATCCTCATGATGAACACAGGCGATGTGGGTGCAAGGTAGGATGGACAGCGGTGTCTCCCACCAGAGGCTGTAGCAGACATCTACATCTCTAAAGTCTGTTCCTCAAAGGAAACATCACAGTAACAGCTACAACAGTGATTACATGGTAGAAAACATTGGTACAATCCTGGTATATGCCCATCATATGGTCTCCCAACTTAATCTCAACAACTCTAGACCACTAGTACTATAAAATAATCTCTGTAGTTGAGATACTTAGGAGGGAGGATTTAAAATGCATAGTGATACCCTGTCTTAAAAAAAGAAAGAAAGAAAGAAAGAAAGAAAGAAAGAAAGAAAGAAAGAAAGAAAGAAAGAAAGAAAGAAAGAAAGAAAGAAAGAAAGAAAGAAAGAAAGAAAAGAAAAAGAACTAAGGCCAGGCATGGTGGTACACTATATAATTCTAGCACTTGAGGAATGGGAAGTGGAGGCAGGAGGATCAGTAGTTGAAGGCAGCTCTGGCTAGATATGTTCAAGGCCAGGTTAGCCTGGATTATATGAAACCTTGTTTAAAGGGGGAGGGGATGCTGGGGATGTAGCTCAGTGGTAGAGCCTTTGCATAGCACGTGCAAGGCTCTGAGTTCAACTCCCAACATGACAAAAAAGAAAGGAAAGAAAGAGGTAGGGAGAAAGGGATGGAGGAAGAGGGAGAGAAGAGTGTGGGAGAAATATGGGGACAAGGTGTGCTCTCCAGGTGTCGTTCCCATCAAACAGAATTAGAGAAAATACCAGTAATACAATTCTCAATCTGTTTTAGTATAAATGAAGTATAAAAAGATTAGCTTTCTCCCAAATCACATAAGTATCAGTAAGCATGGGTGCAAGGCTGGGCGTGCTTGCCTGGAATCAACCCAGTCTCCAGGGTAGGTGCTTTACAGCCTTATTTCAGAGATGAAGTGAGGCTTAGAAATTCCACCTCCAGGAAATGAAAAGACAGGGCCAGAACCCAGGCTCTCCCCTCTTGCTGCTCATGGATTGGCATGGCTATCCAGGCTGCCCACAACATACCCCAGGGGTCCTCACCATATAGACTCAGTGTTATGCCACCAAGCGGGATGTTATATGGCAGCCCTGTTTTAGAAGGACTGTGCTGCACCATTCATCCTCTGCCTTCTGCCCATGCCAAGTGCCCAATCACAGGGATGGCCCCATGGGTCATCAGGATCCCAGTGCCACCAAGAACAGGCATAACTCTCACATGAAGGGCTGGTCACCACCCTTCTGGATCTAAACAGGTAGTGCGTGAGGTGGTCAGGGCTACACTCTTAGAGGACTGTGGTCTAGCTATGCAGCCTTGGAAACACATGTGTACATGTTCATACGCACATTTCCCAGCTGTCACTCATGGACAATAAGTGCAGCCACCTCTCACCCCTGTTCAACTGTCAGAAGGAGCAGATTCCCCTTACCCAGAGAGTGATCTTGGCCCAGGGTGTCTACCACCTCTGCTCTGACAGAGCTTCCTCCTTCTAGACCCTAGGGAGTAGTCAAGGTGGGGAACCATGCTGCCAGAAGTCCGGGTGACGTCTTTTATTTGCATGTCCCCAGAATATTAACATACTGTCTCTCTTGTCTTCTTCTGTTTGGGAAAAGGTTTAAATGGGATGTCAAGAAATTCAAGCCTCACTTCACCATCAGCCCTGAAGAAGGCTACATCACCTCAGGCATGGAGGTTGCTTTAGAAGTAACCTACCATCCCACGGAGATAGGAAAGGAGAGTCTCTATAAAAACATTCTCTGCTTCATCCAAGGAGGAAATCCTCTGTGCCTCACCCTCTCCGGGATCTGCGTGGGACCACCTGCCGTAAAAGAGGCAAGTAGGCATTGGCCAGGGATGGGCAAAGGCAGGAGGAAGCCCAACGTGGGAATTCAGGCCTCATCACCTGCATCAAACATTCAGTCCTGTTCTTCCCTGCCACAGGGACTCTGCACATACCATACCCACTACTTGAATTATCTTTCTTCCCTCTTTGTTTACTTAATTCCTGTTCTTTCTTCAACTTGTGATACAAGCATTACATCCTCAAGGCAGCCTCAAGAAGATCACCTAGATCAAATTCTGTTTTAAGAGTTGTGAGCAGGGACCAGAGCATAGCTCCACCAGTGAGGTGCTTGCCACACAAGTGTTCTGTTCCTTCTTCTGGAGCAGGAGGACTTGGAGTCTTGAGTGGAGGAATGACGGTATATGATTTGCGCTTTAATGGAGTCAAACCAGATGTTGACAGATGTCAGAGGAAGGGAGACTGATGAGAAACACTTCCTGTAAACGAGGGGCGCCACGACAGTGGTTTGTGTGGTACAGCTGGCTCAGGGGATAGTAGAAAGTGGTTTTTTGTTTTTTGGGGTTTTTTTTTTTTGGTTTTTTGTTTTTGTTTTGTTTTGTTTTATTTTGTTTTTGTTTTGTTTTGTTTTTCGAGACAGGATTTCTCTATGCAGTTTTGGTGCCATCCTGGATCTCACTCTGTAGACCAGGCTGGCCTCGAACTCACAGAGATCCACATGACTCAGCCTCCCGAGTGCTGGGATTAAAGGTGTGCACCACCACCACCACCACCACCACCACCACCACCACCACCACCACCCAGCTTAGAAGGTAAATTTTTGCAGCTCATAAATTCAACTAGGATGGCTGGCCACAGAGCTCCTGGGGTTCACCTGTCTCCCTCCCTTCAATGCTGGACTGGCAGACAGACCCTGCCACACCTGGCTTTTACACGGATACTAGGAATTGAACTCAGGTCCTCATGTCTACACCGAAATGATTTGACTGACAGCATGTGTCCAGCTGCTCCATAATGCAACTGTGCACAGCTGTAAAGAAAAGTGAAACCATGGCATCTGCAGGAAAATGTATGCAACTCAAAATCATAAGCTTAATGAAATAAGCCAGACTTAGAAAGACAAGTAGTGTATGTTTTCTCTCATATTTGAAATCAGACTCAAAATTATATGTGTGTTTATGTGTGTATATGTGTGTACATGTGTGTATATGTATGTATCTACATATGGGGGTACACAGCGCTAGAAAGAAGGAACCCAAAAATGTCCATTGGAATTCACTGTGGGAACCACTGTTGAAATCTCTCTTCCCTCCCTCCCTCACACACGCACACATGCACGCATGCACACATGCACACATGCACGCATGCACGCACACACTGTAGCTCCGGCCCCTGGAAGGCAGTTCAGAGGAGGTGGCATGGAAAGGGACATTCCTGCTTCTTCCAGGTGGTGAACTTCAACTGCCAAGTGCGCTCCAGGCACACACAGACCATCCTGCTCTCCAACCGTACCAACCAGACCTGGAATCTGCACCCCATCTTTGAGGGCGAGCACTGGGAAGGGCCCGAGTTCATCACCCTGGAGGCCCATCAGCAAAACAAGCCCTATGAGATCACCTACAAGCCTCGCACCATGAATCTGGAGAACCGCAAGCACCAGGTAAACTGAAGCCCTCCGCCTGCTCTCTGGCACAGAGGAAGCAAGGGGCTGTATAGTCAGGGGCTAAAAGACAGTTTTAGAGCTCAGAGTTGGAAGACTATCCACATAAGAAGTGAGGCCCCAGATCCTGGAACGATGGGAAGCCAGGACAGTTGTCAGGCAGTGGCTTCCCCTTTGCCCGTGTATCTCTTAGAATCCGAGGGCTCGGTTCTGAAATGAAGGCCTAGACCAAGCATCGAGAAATTCCTGTTTAGTTTAAGCACATCAGTAACATCATGGTAGCTGTAATAAAAATCAGAAGAGGCTCAGTGAGATGGCTCATCGGATAAATGTGCCTGCCACCAAGCCTTGCAAATTTCAATCCCCAAGACCAACATGTTGGAAGGAGAGAACTGTGTCTCACAAGTTGTCCTCTGATTTCCACACATCCAATGGCATATGTGTATGTACACACACACACACACACAAATAAATAAAATAAGAATGTCATTTAAGGGCTGGAGAGAGAAGGCTCAACAGTTATGAGCATTTGCTGTTCGTACAGAGGACCTGAGCTCAGCTCCCAGTACCTATGTTGGGTGACTCACGACCACCTATAATTCCAGTTTCAGGAGACTCCAATGCCCTCTCTGGCCTCTGTAGGCCCTACACTCACATGCACATGCCCACACAGAGACACATAAATAAAAATAATAAAAATAAATATTTTTGAAATATAATTTTAAACATCAGCCTGGATAGTAGTGGCATATACCTTTAATCCCAGCACTTGGGAGGCAGAGGCAGGTGGGTCTCTAGGTTTGAGGCCAGCCTGGTCTACATAGTGAGTTCCAGGACAGCCAGGGTGACACAGGGAAACCCTGTCTCAAAAAAAAAAATCAGAAAAGGAAGGCAGCCAGTCTGTGCACTTAGAAGCAAATGATATTTTCTTCAGTTTTTACTATTTATCTAATACAACAAGCTTCTGCGTCTGTGAGGGACCCTGTCTTAAAGGAATATCATGGAAAGCTTTAAAGGAAGACATGCAATATCCTCCTTTGGCTTCCAAGTGGTTGCACACAGGTTCACTCATCTACATACCCATGTGTATACCACACACACACACACACACACACACACACACACACCACACATACACACACATACATACCACATATACACACACACATATATACACACCACACATACATACACACTCACAACACACAATACACACAACAAAAGTTACACTTTTAAAGTAAAAGTGTTAGACTTACTTGCCCTCTCCAGGTCAGGTAGGTGCCTGTTAATACAGGATCTTCGGCGTCACTCTGCTCTGTCACTTCTTCTTCCGAGGGCACTCTCTTTTTCCCCCTCCCGGATGGGACTGGCTGGCTGTATGCCCTGCACGGAACTGCTGAACTCCCCAAAGCTGTTGCCAATATCTACCGCGAAGTTCCGTGTAAGACTCCCTATACTGAGCTCTTGCCAATCAGCAACTGGCTGAACAAGCCCCAGAGGTGAGAAAGTGGGTGAGCAGCCAGGGTGGGGGGAACAGATGACTTCCACCGTCCAGTTTGGTCCTTCCGCTCAGGGCTTACAGAAAATGGCAGGCTCAGAGGAGTCAGAGACGTAGCCCTCAACGTAGCCAGGTGTCTCATGGACACGAACCCAGTCTTCTTGTTGATTGCTGATTCTTACAGACTGTAGCACACTGCCTACCTTAAAATAAATGCCCAATAAATAGTAGATCTGATGATCCTAACGGTCATCGTCTTTGTTGTTGTTGAGTGTCTTATAGCCTGAGCTACTAGCCAGAGAAGAAACCCTCGCTGTGCTTACAGCAGGAGGTAGAGAGGACAAGGGCTAGCAGAGGTCAAGAGCAAGTGGCCTCGTCCTTTCCTCCACAGAGAAGACATGGAGGCTAGAAGTGCATCTTCCTGAAGACCACCTGCTTGGCAGAGTGGACAAAAGCTCAGATCTAAGTCTGAACCCCAGTTCTGCCAATAGCCACGAATGTTGTCTGACATGTTATCGTCCTTCTTTGGGCCTCTATCTCCTCTTCCCTAAAGTGGAGGTGTTCGTGAAACAAACCTCCTCTAAACATTATGACAGCTGGCTATCTGTAAATAACATGGAGAAGGGACTACTGGGTACCTGGCTCAGTAGATGGAAGTGACTGCCATTGTTAGTGACAGAATGAAGCCTAGAACATGGACCTGAACAATCTCCAGAAAAGCAAAAGTAGACCCAGCCCGTGTCCTCCCCTTCTTCGGACAACCCCCCTGTCTCTCCAGTGTCCCTCGTCATTTCCCATCGCCCCTCTCCTCTCTTGTACTGATCCAGATTCCGGGTCATCGTGGAAATGATAAAACCAGAGAGGCCAGACCTAAGCGTCACTATGAAGGGTCTTGATTACATTGATGTACTATCTGGCTCCAAGAAAGACTACAAGCTCAACTTCTTTTCCCACAAGGAGGGACTCTACACTGCAAAGGTATCACCATGTCAAAGGCACCTCCTAAAATCCCCGCCGGTTTGACCCTAGGGTATTCGAGAATGTCAGGTGCTATCCTCCAGGTACCGCCCCCAGGCGCCGGAGTGTTCACTCAGTGCTATCTTGCCTAATCCGTTCATTTGCTTAATAGATATCCATGAGCACATAGGCCATGTTCTGTGCTAAGTGTTGGTAACACAGCAATGGCCAGAGCCAGGCACGGTCTCTATCCTTACGAAGCACACGGTCTAGTGGAGGGACACGGACATTATCCTGTCAGTGGAGAACTTTCAAACGAGAGAAGCGCTTTGATGTAGGGGAGCATATGTGAATTCACAGCTCACAGGAGCGCTTAGGACTGAAGGCCAGAGTGTTGTTTATTTACAATCTTTGGAGCTATTAGTCATGATGGGATCACCGAGGGAAAGATTTTCAAGTATAAAATTAGACAAGGTCTTTAAAAGAATGTATGTAAAAGCCAGGCTGTATACATAAAATTGCCACCTAATAATAACAAGATTAACAATCCAATGTACTACGAATGGGTAGAGTCTACTCCACAAGAGTAATCACATGAAATCCAGGCACAGTGGCACATACCTGAAGTCCCAGGGCTCAGGAGTGTGAGGCCTGCCTCTGGAGTTGTATGCTGACCTGAGCTACATGAAACGCTGTCCCAAAAGAAATTTGTTTTGAGTTGCTGTGTATGAACAACCACAAGCACACCAGGCCAACACCACCATTCTCCCGGGAAGAGTTCTGACAGATGAGCAGCGTATTAGTTGTAGGGAGGGGCTACTTAGTGTTGTGTGGGTGAGCTCTGATTCACCCCATGCAGGGTATCTTTTGCACATGACACTGAGCTTTGCTACACTTCCATTCCCTCCTCTGTAAAGGGTGAGGGCATTGCCGACCCATTGTGAGGACCATGTAGCCTGACATCTACTAAGTCCCCAGTGAGCATGAGATGCTGTCTGTCATTGTCATTCTCACTAAAACTCTGGCAGCAACAGCAGTAGGCATGAATCCCACTACAGCTGGAAGCTCCGAAGACCTCACTTCTTCCCTGGGGTTTCCTGGCTGTCCCCACTGCTAAAATTCTGTCAGTGAACCACACTGCTCTAGTGTCTTCTAAAGTGAACTGAGATTCTTAAATCATGTCTGGCCTGCACCAAGCCAGACTACAGTTCCTAAAGAGAAAGGCTGCCTGGCAGGGATAGGACTGGCTAGCCATGCCACACCAGTCTGCGTGCTTCACGTGCCCAGCAAGGCTCCCAGATAGCAGGAGAACCTGAGTGTGGACAGAGAACCCTGGGCTAACGTCTTCTCTCCCCTGCTTCTTTCTATTCTGCCTGTGAACACAGGTGATCTTCCGGAACGAGGTGACCAGTGAGTTCTTGTACTACACTGTGAGTTTCAGGGTCATCCCTTCTGGCATTATAAAAACCATCCAGATGACAACCTCGGTCCGCCAGAATGCATCAGCCTCCATCAAGTTGGAGAATCCCCTGCCCTATTCTGTGACCTTCTCTACAGAGTGCAAGTTGAATGACATCAGCCTACCTTCCCAGTTCGCTGTGCCTGCAAACTCTGAGGTAAGGCCCTGACTGCCAGGGGACCCTTGAGGGCTATGACAGAGGCTTCTACCCATGAGGGCTCTGGGTTTATGTTCTGCAGCCCTTGAGTGTAGGCTAGCCCTGATAGAGGGCAAGAAGAATGGCAAGGGACAGTCAACCTCATGTTTTCTTCTACAGCCAAAGTCTTCGTGTGAACTAGGAACACTTAGCTTTGGTAAGGACTCCTTTATAATTACTCTGTCTATTGATTGTTTGCCTTGTTCAAACTAAAGGAAAAACATCTTTTTTGCTAATTGTAAAAGTAGCATAGAGCTAGAAGTGTACCTTAGTTGCAGAGCTTTTGCCCGGCATGCGTGGAATATCCTGGGTTTGATCCCCAGACCACACACACACAAAGGTTCATGGATCTTAGTGTGGAAAAAAGAAAGCAAAGTGTATAAAATATCAGGATAAAACGCACACATGTATACATATGCATACACGTATACACATGCACCACATACACATTTATATGCACACATATGTACGTACATACACATACACATGCTTGTACCCTTGTTGCTTGTACTTCCCTATATACAGAGTGTTCTGAAGAGGCACATAAGAACCTCCAACTATGGCTAAAAGGACATGGTCAGGAATTATGAACCGAGGGGAAGATGGACTTACTTTTTAGTCCTTTTATCAGTTTGTCATTCCAAACTCACTGTCTACATTTCATCAAAATCCCCACTCTAACTTCCCTGCCTCTCCAACCCTTGTCCAACTCGGCCTGTTCCCTTCACACGACTCCACCTCTTCCTTCATCTCCAGGATCTAGATTTTTCTCCACTCTCCTGCCCATTGTTGGCAGGATTGTGTCTGTCCTTCAGAAGTGGGCTCCAACCAGCTGGTCAGTTTCTGTTGGTGATGTTTTGTGTTAAGTTGGGTTTGGGTTGGCGTCTTTGAGACAGGGTCTCCCTGTGTGACCCAGAATGGCCTCAAACTCATGATCCTGTTTTTGTTGCAGCACTCGACCAGTGCAGGCTCTCCTTTTGAGTCTCTACTGCCCCCACTAGGTTCATCTTATTACAACAGCTTGCCGTTAAACTGAAACCACCCCTCCAACCTCTGCTGGAGTGCCCCACCAAGTTTTCTGGGTTATGTGGATCCCCTTAATTCAGCGATGATCTGGGCTCTCTGGCTCTTAGGGCTGATGCTCCCCTCACCATGCAGGAGCTACTACTACACCAGGCTCATCGCTCTTGGTACTTTGGCTCTACCAACTCACATTTGAGTTTGAGGTTGCCTTTGCAGTGTCGTTATAGATGTTAGCTTGTTCTTGATATTTTGAGCCTAGCTGATCTGTGTGTTTGGGGATAGAATAGGTATTTGAGGAGAGTCCAAACAGTGTTGTGACTACTGTTATCCTCTTACCCTAAACCTAGAGAGCTGGTTTCTATGTATAATGTGAGTCCAAGTTTCACTTTGTTCCCCAAGTCAATAGGAATCGTCTCAAACTAGCTAAAATTCTCATTTTAAACTGGGCATGGTGACACATGCCTGTAATCCCAGCACTCCAGAGGTATGGGAAAGAGGATCAGAAGTTCAAGATCATCCTCAGCTATGTATTGAGTTTGAGACCAACTTGAGCTACTCCAGACCCCTTCTCAAAAAAAAAAAAAAAAAAATCTCATGTCATCGTTCCCTTCTACTCTGCAGAAGCATGTATAAAATAAATGAAACTCATACACCCATGGGTCTGTTCTAGCTACTCTGGGATAAAATAATTTCTGTTCTCGTGCCAATACTTCTGTGTTTTATGAACAGATACTTAGAGAAGGGTTGGTTGACATCAAATAGAGCTGTCAATCAATCACTCTGGTGATAGCTTGCACTCTTGTTGCTCTTCAGGAATACATCAGCTATTCCTGACTCCTCACTTCTATGTACATTTTGAAGCCAAGTTGCTCAGAAAAAATAAAGGAAACTAAAAAGAACTCTGGATTTTGAATGGAATTCTATTATTTTAAGAATTAATCGTCTGTGATCTGTTGATCCGTAACAAATTACTCTCAAGCTTAGCATCTTGTCAGACAGCAAATGCTTGCTCTCTGCACGGATAGTCAGGACTCCAGCTGTGGCAGCTCACTCCAGCTGTGGCAGCTGGGCTGGGCAGTCTTTGCTGGGGGGAGGGGGTGTCTCATGAGGCTCAAGTCAGGCAGACAACCAGGGACCTAGTCATCCTCCCATCTGGGACTAGAAGAGCGGCTTCCAGACTAGGGCACGGGTTTGCTGGAAAGGCTTTTAGCTCCCTGTTGGCAGGTTTCTGGGCCTCAGTCAGTCATCATGTGGACCTCTCCCTAGAGCATTTTCTAACATGGCCCACTTCCCTAGAGTGAAAGATGTAAGGGACAGAGGCGTGCACAGGAGAGAAGCTTGGAGACAGACTCTTTCACTGCCTGTCTCAGGAGTGACATGCTTGCATTTTATCTACTAAGCCCTCTCCTCGGCCCTGCTGTCCTGGAATTTCTTTAAGGAAGAAACAAATTGGAAGTGCTAGGGATTAAACCCTGAGCCTTGTGCATTCCTGGGAAGCTTTGTCCCACTGAGCTACAGGCCCAGTTTCCCCAGACCCCCTCACCCCTGCCCTTTTGAGACAGGTTCTCACTATATTACTCAGACTGGCCTGGAGCTCATTCTCTAACCCAGACAGGTCTTCATCTTGTGCTCCTCCTGTCTCAGGCTCTCGAGCAGCTAGTTATAAGGCCTGCATCACCGGGTTTGGCTACTGATTTTCTTTGTTTGTTTTTCGATGCAGGTTCTCTTTGTGTAGCTCTGGTGTCCTGGAGCTCTCTCTGTAGACTAGACTGGCCTCGAACTCAGAAATCTACCTTCCTTTGTCCTGAATGCTGGGCTTAAAGGCATGCACCACCATTGCCCAGACTGATTTTTTTTTTTAATACTAGGAATTCAATTTAGGGCCTTAGGCATGCTAGGCAAGTACTCGATTGCTTGATCCAGTCCCTGGCTCTTGATTCAGTTCCACAGCTCCATAGGCTTTCTGTTTCTTCTTGAGTCTGTTTCTGTAAGCTCTATTTGTTTTTGCACTTGTCCATTCATGTCACTTTGATTATAAAGTCATCTTTGTATCATGCTCTGTTTGCTAAACATCTATAGCTTTGGTGATGCTCTTTATTCTGATTAGTTTTCAATAAGAATTGTTCTTGTTGCCGGGCGGCGGTGGCGCACGCCTTTAATCCCAGCACTCGGGAGGCAGAGGCAGGCGGATCTCTGTGAGTTCGAGGCCAGCCTGGGCTACCAAGTGAGTTCCAGGAAAGGTGCAAAGCTACACAGAGAAACCCTGTCTCGAAAAAACCAAAAAAAAAAAAAAAAAAAAAAAGAATTGTTCTTGTTTTTAATTTTTAAATTATTTTAATGATGTGTGTGTGTGCGTGTGAGTGCAGGCGCTTGAAGATGTTAAAGGTATTAGATCCCCAAAGAGCTATAGCTACAGGTAGTCATGAGCTACCTGATATGGGTTCTAGGACTTGAACCCTGGTCCTCTAGAAGAACAGTGTGTGTTCTGAACTGATGAGCCGTCTTCCAACCTGTGTTTGTTTTGTGTTTCATTACTAGCTATTTAAAGTAAAAACATTTCAAGCTGTGTAGAAGTATATCAAATAGTAAAGATTCCCATACCCTGTTCCCCCAAACATAACACCAGGAATTTTTTTCCCTTTGGTTTTGGTTTTTGTTTTTGTTTTTCAAGACAGAGTTTCTTAGTATAACAGATCTGGCTGTCCTGGAACTTGCTTTGTAGACCAGGCTGGCCTCAAACTCACTGAGATCCACCTGCTTCTGCCTCCTGAACGCTGGGATTAAAGGTGTGCACCACCACTGCCTGGCTAGGAACAGCTGTTCTTACAGACTTTTTTCTACACACAAACAACAGAAATGGGCCAACAAAGTGGCTCATTGGGTAGAGGCTCTTGCACACAGACCTGACGACTTGAGTTTGATCCTTGGGTCCCACGGGCAGCGGGAGAGAACCAACTCCAGAAAGTTGCTGTCTAGCCAAGTGCATATGTGCGTGTGCGCACGCGTGCACGCGCACACACACACACACACACACACACACACTAAATTAATTTTTAATAAGTATGAGCTTTATGTATTTTTTTCAGAGCTCCTTTCTTCCACTTACAATATCAACACCTCTCATTACAATTCTACCTCCTTCTTTTGTGGCTGTATGATATTCTGCTGAGATGAGCAAACCCCAAGTCATTAAACCAGTCTCCTATGGGTGCTTTTGAGTCGTTCTCTCTCTTTGCTATTATAAACAATACCCTTTGGTTCCTGTGTCATTTTGAAAGAACTGGGGAAAGAGAATGTTTCTCTTCGAGTAAAGGTGGAACCCAGGAAGCTGTTCTGAGAACGACTCTGTGCAAAGAAGGGGCTGCCTGACCTTGAACTGCCTGTTGATTTCCATAAATGTGCTTCCCTAGGAAGGGGCCAACACCTGTTTCTTAGATTCAGAGAGATTTGGGATGGAAAAATACCTGGAACAGAGAAAGCCAGACGGGGAGGAAAGGGAGAGAGAATGGGCTAACCTGGGCTGAAGTTCCCAGGCTCAGGGTCAGCTTCAGTATTTGTGTCTGAAGCTTTATTTTTGCCACCACCTGCTTCAAGGCCTGGGGCAGGTCACTTGATGGAAGAGGATGGGTCAAACTTCCAGCATGACAACAGCCTCTGTCTTCTCTTCCAGGGAACATTCTCGTTTGAATTCCAGCCCCTAAAAGCTGGAGAAACCTTTGGAAGACTGAACCTGCACAACAGTGACTTGGGTTACTACCAGTATGAGCTCGTTCTGAAGGCCTTGCCTGCACCTCCTGAGAAACCTGTCCACTTCCAGACCGTTCTTGGCAGCAACCAAAGCATGTTGGCAAAGTTCACCAATTATACCCGGCAGAAGACAGAGTACTACTGCAGGGTGAGCAGACTGTGGGGTGAGCGAGCTGCAGGGTGATCAGACTGTGGGGTGAGCGGACTACAGGGTGATCAGACTGTGGGGTGATCAGACTGTGGGGTGAGCGGACTGTGGGGTGATCAGACTGTGGGGTGATCAGACTGCGGGGTGATCGGGCTGTGGGGTAAGCAGGCTGCAGGTTGAGCAGTCTGTGGAGTAAGCGGGCTGCAGGGTGATCGGACTGTGGGGTGAGCAGACTGCAGGGTGACCAGACTGCGGGGTGATCGGACTGTGGGGTGATCGGACAGTGGGGTGATCGGACTGTGGGGTGATCGGACTGTGGGGTGAGCAGACTGTGGGGTGAGCAGGCTGCAGGGTGAGCAGGCTGCAGGGTGAGCAGGCTGCAGGGTGATCAGGCTGCAGGGTGATCAGGCTGCAGGGTGAGCAGGCTGCAGGGTGAGCAGGCTGCAGGGTAAGCAGGCTGCAGGGTGAGCAGGCTGCAGGGTGAGCAGGTCCCACATCTTTAATACCTCACCAAAGAAATTAATTTTAAACATGAGTTTTAGTGATGACATCCAAACCATAGCAGCCTGTGACCTGCAGCCTCATAGGAGTACTATGTATGAGCACTTACATGCATGCAATATGTCTGCAAAGCCTACTCCTTAGTACCTAGCCCATAGCAAGCATTTCATATACATTAGCCATTATAACAGTTGGAATGTAAGGCAGAAAACCTAAATAACAGCAAATAGAAATCCGTGCCTCTCACAATAGTCTGGATGTGAGCAGTCTGGTCTAGGATGGCAGCTCCCTGCCAACAGCCACCCAGACTCTTCCTTTCCCAATACTCTATCCCTGTAGTTGCTTGGCCCTCATGAACCAAGATGGATTACCATGACATTCCTACAGGGAAAAAGAGTTCCACATAACCCTTCTCCCAGTATCCCGTGGAACAAAATTTCACAGGACTAGACTCGGCCACAAGGGAACTAGGAAGAGGGGTGTTTAAAATGGATGATCATGTCCCCAGTGAAAATCAAGAATCCATAGTTATAACAAGAAGCATAGACCTCCTGACTATCATATCAATCAAGAGAGACTAGGTTATGTGTAGTAACCACCCTGAGATCTGGGTGTCTCAAAAGAAAAAAAAGAAAAGAAAAGAAAAGCAAAAGGTTTATTTCTTGCTTATACTATCTATCCAGTAAGGGGCCATAGGAGACTCTTGTTTATCACAGTTGCTTGGGATTCTGCTGAAGAACAACTCCTATCTCAAATGCTTCTGGCCATAGCATTCGAGGGGTGAAAAGACCCTGATGGGCCTCATGGACGATTAAATTTCTAGGATACAAATGGCACCTTTTAGTTTTGTGCAAGCTAGAATGCCCCATCTTCCATGTGAATGAAAGGAGAGAACTCCCGATTCTCCCCACCAGCATCATCTAGCTATACATCTTAAGGCACATTATCAACATCTCTCAGTAGCAAGGTTGGGATAGTCATGAGTGATACCTTATCACATTACAGCCTACCCAGCTTCACACAAACCTAAGCTCTTTAATGTCAGAGAGTGGAAGAGCTTGATTTGGGCTCCTGATGGTCTCTTTAGGATCCTCTGTGAGTCAAGGTACTCTGTTTCCCTTTCAGACGGACTGTCCTGACTTCCACACGGAAAGAATCATTAACGCAGCCCCAGGAGCCCAGGGTGGCACCGAGGTCAGCGTGGAAGTCTTCTTTGAGCCCAACCACCTGGGTGAGACCAAAGGCATCCTAAGCCTGTCATCACTCATAGGTGGTGAATACATCATCCCACTCTTTGGAATTGCTCTGCCCCCCAAGCCCCAAGGCCCCTTCCTAATCAGAGCCGGATACAACATCATCATCCCCTTCAAAAACGTCTTCCTGCATACAGTGAACTTCTCCTTCATTGTGGAGAACCCAGCCTTCACCATCCGGGCTGTAGAATCTGTACGGCCCAAGAAGATCAACAACATCACAGTCTTCTTTGAGGGGAACCCATCAGGCAGTAAAACCCCTATCACCTCCAAGCTGATTGTCACCTGCCCTCAGTGTGAAGGCGCCGAATCTGGAATCAAATGGGTTTATTATCTGAAGGGGATCACCCCATAAGTCACAGCTTCATCAACCAATGCCATCTTCTCTGCCCACAAACCATGTGCTGTGCACCATCCTAACAAAGAATAGAGAAGAAACGGGAATTTTCCAAGGACTTTCTTATGTGTGTTCAATTATAGAGGAAGCTATTTCTATATTATGTTTTACAAATACAGATATGAAATTTATGTTCCACATTAAAATTTTTAATGACACACAACAGATCTACATTCAGGCTAAATCACTCAGTGACAGTCTCAATAGTTGTGTTCTCCACAGCTGAGCACTCTGCAATGATCCCAGTTTGTAAGGAGACACGGGTGTCCTGCTCATGACCTCCACACAGCACTTAGAAGTGTCCAGTGCAGGGAACTGATTCTCCTTAAAATGTCATCAGTCCCCAGATGCGACTCTATTTGATGTGATATCATTTCTGCTCTCTCATAAAAGCTAAAGAAGTAGTCATCTTCAGAATGACAAGCAGGTCACATTAGGGCCATTCGGGGAGGCCATCCCTTACTGTTTCTCTTGTGTTTTATTCGGTCAGCCTCCAGCTCTCATATCTATTTGCTGCAGGAGGTAAGTCCTCATTGGAATTTGGATCCTGGAGAATGCTAATGAGACCCCTACCTCCTCCTTCCCTCCCCAACCCTGAGTACAGCAATCAGTGGGAGGTCACTGTTTCTCTGCTACATGCAGTCGCCTAATTCTCATCCAAAACCTACCCTTCCCAAATAGTGATTGAATTGGGCTGGGGTGGAGTGAGATTATCATGTATTCTTATGTTATGCATGTATGCACATATCATATATATACATACATGCATGCATGCATACATATATATATACATATATACATATATATGTGTATGCATGTATGTATAACTGCAGGGTGAGAACCAGGGCCACACAGCAGGCACAGCCATTCCTTTATGTTACTCCATCTCAGTCAGGAATCCCTCCATGGTAAAGACCTCATCCCGGTTTTATATGTTGAAACTTCAACTATGTCACATGCTCTTAAAGGGTCGCTGTCTGTCTTTCTTCCATGCCTCCCAGGAAGTCCCATCCACACAGAGATGTGGAGCACCCGCCTCAGTCCAAAGGCCTGACCCTACACCCACCTCTCTCCCCCAGGGCCTCATAGGGTGTATTAATAGGACCACTGGCCTACAGGGTCCACGTGTTAAATCAATATGGTTAAATACTATCTCTGAAGGAGATTTGCTTCTACAGACACTTAACTCTCATTGAGTGTTCCCCTGCTTCTGCCTCTTCCCCTTTTTTTATTCCAGGTAGCCAAGAGAGAGGAGATATGAAAGCAGATGGCCACTTGGGAACAAAGTCCCTAAAGAAGTGAATGTCTTGCCGGGTGGTGGTGGCACACGCCTTTAATCCCAGCACTTGGGAGGCAGAGGCAGGTGGATTTCTGTGGGTTTGAGGCCACCGTGGTCTACAGAACAAGTTACAGGACAGCCAAGGCCACACAGAGAAACCCTGTCTTAAAAAAAAAAAAAAAAAAAAGCCGGGCGGTGGTGAGTTCGAGGCCAGCCTGGACTACCAAGTGAGTCCCAGGAGAGGCGCAAAGCTACACAGAGAAACCCTGTCTCAAAAAACCAAAAAAAAAAAAATAAAATAAAATAAAAAAAAAATTTAAAAAAAGTGATGTCCAAATGATCCCAGGACCACTTTGGGAAGCTGCTAAAGACCCAAATTCTCAGTCTCCAGCATAGACTTGTTGAGTTAGAATCTGTGGGACACAGTCCAGCAATCTGCTTTTTAATAAGCCTAGTACCTATTATAGGCTTGCAGGGGATAGTTTAGGGGTCCTGTTTGGTTGGGGTTTGGTCGGGCTCTTTTGAGACAGGGTAGCTCAAGTTGACTTTGAACTCCATTCCTCTTGCCTCAGCCTCATGAGTACTAGGATAAAAGTTTGTAGTACTACATTGACTTAAATGGTGGTACTGTGTGATGTGTGTGTGTATGCACACATGTGCCTGCATTTATGTGTATGTGTGTGAGTGTGTATGTGTGTGTGTGTATGTGTGACAGAGGGGGGAGAGCCGCGGGTATGCATGTGCCATGGCACTTGTATGGAGTCAGAGGATAGCTTCAGGTGTCAGTCCTTGCCTAGAGGACTTGCCCCAGTCTACCTAGAGACAGGGTCTCTCATTCATTTCTGCCTACGCCAGGCTAGCTGGCCCATGAGCTTCAGGGACTCTCCTGTATCTGCCTCCCACCTCCCAGGAGGGCACACTGGGATTACAGACACATGCACTGCAGTCTCCAGTTTTTAGTTAGGTTCTTGTCTTCAAGTGTAGAGTGTCAGGATTGTGCAGCAAGTGATGTGCCCACCGCTGAGTCGTCTCCCAAGCCCTTAAAGGTGTTTTATTAACAGAAAAATAGCTTCAACTTTTTGTACCTCCTCAAAACCCTCACTCAGTACATGCTATACACAACTAATGCCAAATTAAGTATTTCCTATAATGCTTGTAAACTCAGGCCTATAGTTCATAACCAATTCATTTTAGCCAGTCAAGATACTACTAACAGGGGCCAGCAGCTGGAAGGCACCTGCCGTCACACCTGACAACCTGAGTTCAATCCCCAGGACCCACATGGGAGGAGAGAAATGACTCCTGAAAGTTGTCCTCTGACTTCCATACCATGACAGGCACGCGCACACACACACACACACACACACACACACACACATATAGCAATGTCATAAAATAATTTTTAAAAGACAAAAATAATAGATATAAAGACAAAGAATTAGATGAGAGATTTTTCCAGTGGTTGGCTGAGCAAAGGCCACACTAGCCAGCAATCTGAGAGGATGGTAACATCAGCGTGCAGCTGCTCTGACTGGCAGATACAGAAGTTGCATAAAGTCAGCAGTTTCCCAATTTTAATTTATATCAGAATCTCTGGGGAGGACCTACAAAACCAGATTGCTGGGCTGTTCCCCTGAAACTCCAGCTAAAAGTTGCTTTGCCTTTGAAGAAACCACTTTGATTAGGGTACAACCTCACCTGTAGCCTCTCAACTCATAATGACATGACTTTTTCCACACATTGGTGTAGCTGTTATTAACAGTTCCTAGAGAACCATCCCGAAGTCTGTCATGACAAGCACACAAAATGGGGCTGCAAGATGAATCATCACTGCGGAAGGGCAGTGAGCTTGCAGCATATGAATTACCCAGTAGTCTAGAAGAGTCAGAGTGGGGAGTGCTGGCCAGCAGGGCCGGAGAAGAGGAAGGCAGGCAGAGAGGCAAGAACCGTCCCTGGTCTCCGTTCACAGTACCACTGCTAGTCCCCGATGAATAAGTGACCTTAATTCCTCTACATCTCTAAGATATCAGGGAAGTTTCTTTCTAGAAACTTCTGGCCTAAAGGTGGACAAAGCATTCATTTGGGCTTTATGGAGAAGCCTGTTTCTTAGCAACCTGATTCAGAATGCAGTTTCTGGAGAAAAGAGCTCTTGCTGGTAGGAAAAAAAAAAAAACCAGCACAGCTCCAGTTATTAAAGGCCTTACCATAGTGTGAATAGTGTGACCCTTGGGAAATTTGTTCACCTTTATGAAGAAACCAACCCCAAAAAGCAAAGAAACAGGTGAAATATTCTACTACATGGGTTCACTGGAAATGAACGGACATTGTAGAAAACAGACCAAAATCACCCCATTACCTTGGTTTAATTTTTTTCACTGTGTCAACCATCATCTAATCCTGAATATATAAACTTTGCTCAACATTTTAGAATGTCCTTGACAAGTACTTGATGCAAGGTAAAAGGAAGAAAGTAGCAGTCAACATGTTTTCTCAGGGCATGAGTCTATCTACATCTATCTATGGAGGTTTTCATACCTGTGGGGTGCTGGGGGGGGGCTCCTTGCTCCATCACCGGATTGTGTTAGAAAAGCTTTTGCCACACATGAAAACCCTATGGGTAAGAAGACACACTCATGGAATTTTGTTGGCTAATTTCTCCATGACTTTTTGAATTTTAGATGAGGCCCAGCATTTGTTTACTGTAGACACATAACACACAATTGCCAGCCTGGAAGCTTAAAACAATGTGGGTTTATTCTCTCAGTGTCTGTGGGTCAAGAGTCCACATGGACTGAGCTGGGTTCTCAGTCCAGAGATCCACAAAGCTAAATCAAGGACCAGCCTCATCTTCACAGGAAGACTCTAGTGGGAAAAGATATGTCTCTGAGTTTCCCTTGTGTGTTGTCAAAACTCGGTTACTGTGTCTTATGGCTGGAATTCTTGGCAACTGATGACAGGAGACTGCTCTCACCAACTAGAGACCACTGTCATTGCCATCATAAACTGTTCACAACATGACTCCTGGGGCCTTCAGGAGAATCTTCCCATGTCAAATTTCAAGCCACTTTGAGGTCTCACCTGGTTATATCAGGCCTCCCCTTTAATTAATCAGTTATGGACTTTAATTACACTTGCAAAAATCTTTTCTGCTCTCGAACACAGTAATTGTATTTACAAGAGATTTCCACATTCATTGACTCTGCCTACCCTAGCCCCTCACTCACTGTGTCTCTGATCTATGAGCTAAAGCTGATGTTCCACTTTCAAGATCATGGGACGCTTTATGTGTGTGCTTTTTACTTGCTAAAAAGTGTAGCGTCCTGAATCTCAAATGCAGTATTCCTTGGACTCAACGGTAAACTAGCCCTCCTTCTCCTAAATTCCTGACTCTGAAAGCTTTGCTGATTTTGAATATACCCCCGGTTAACTGCATCTTTAATCATTCTATAGCCACAACCCTCCCTGCTCTGCCAATTTTATCACACAGATGCAGTTTCTGTTCCACCATTTAATGTGACAACCCAAAGCAGCTGCTTTCCCATGATTCCACCTAGACACCTACCTGCCCTCAGCAAATTTGGAACTGCTACCTGTAACCTAGCCCTCCTGGGTATCAGAGCATGGTCACACACAGGTCAGTTAGTGTTGCAGGGCACCCACCAGAGAAGACTACTCAGACCCAGGTTTAAGTCAATAGAGAGTCTTAGTTAGCTGACCAGCAACTACACTGGGTGTTCAGGGTCCTAGTGCAGCCCCAAGCCTTTCTCAGATGAGCTTTGAAACACAAAACCACATCCCGGCTTGACACAGCTCAGTTAGCAAGAACACTTAGCTAGAAGCAGAACTGCAGAAGCCAAAAAGCAAGGTTAATGCATTTAGAGACTTTCCCAGACCTGTGGACTTTG